GGTAAGTTCTAAAAAACGAGGGAAAATCTTGATGGATCTATACGACGTTCTTGCTTAGCATGGCAGTGTAGTCGCTTGCTTCTTTTGTAATTTTGAAAGTTTTAAATAATATGCCTCTGCCTGAAGTTGCCGGAGGACTCATACTTACGCACTTCAACACCTCATTCCTTGCGCGCTTTCTTTGCCACGATTAATATGATTTTTGCGCGCATTCCTTACAATGCCTTTTTTCGAAATTTTCCCCTCTTTGCGCGCTTTTAGTGCAGCCCACAAAGGAGTCCGCAAAGCTGGCCTTAAAAAGCGCGAAGCGCCGGAAGGGCGTTGGGCCGCTCAACGGCCAGGCGGTGTAGCTCCCTAGTAATTAAAATGTTTCTCCTCACCTTGCTGTATGAATGTACCATGGAAGTGCAACTAAGGCAGCCGCGCACTTATCCACCGGAATAATATCGGCACGCTTATGAGGGATCCGTCTCAGAATCCTCAAGACCCCCAAACCCAAGCCGGCCATCATAGCACCTGCACTCTGCAAGGTGCAGCTCCAACCATGGACAGGTTCCACATTAGTGTTCATAACTGAAAATCATCAATATTGGATGAAAATAAAGTATAAGTTATCAGTGGCGTGGCGTGCTTTGCGATACATCGATTGGTCTGCCATTTAAACCTATGGAAAAGGATCGATAAGCAGAATGTTTGCCACGAACACCTTAATAATCGATTCTTTACCATAAGTTCCGATGAAAAAATGACGATAATCGATCATTCGCGTCATGCCACTGAATAAAAGAGAGGAAAACCGCGGATTACTGGAAAATAGGAAAAGTTGAACCAGCACGCGGATGTACACGAAAGATGAGTGGTGTGTAGCCATAATGCTGTGCTAAGGAAGAACGCCGTATGAGCCTTTGGACGTTGCCAAATTTCTACCGATAAAACCCGAAATTACTGGGAAAATTTGGAATATTATTTTCTGAGATTTTCGGACAGTTTTGTACGCAATTTAATCTAAAAAATCTGAAAATTTCAAGGAAAAATATGCATGAATTTTGTCAAAAATACTTGTTTTATCAAGGGAAATTTGGCAACTCTTGAATGTTCATACGGCGTTCTACCTTAGCACGGCTGTGAATATTTCCAAAAACTCCCAACCACTGTACCTAGAATTTATTTTAAGGTGATTCGTCGTGGTCGAACTAGCGTGGGATATATCGCATCGATTAAGCCTAAAATCTTGGTAGATTTTGATTTTTTAGCTCAAAAGAAGATAATAACCTCTGCGCCTCATGAACTAGAAGTGTCATTCTAAACTAAAAAAACTGGACAAAATTCAGAGAAATGAAAGCAGGATTCTTTTTCGATAAATACCTTGCATTCGATACGGTAGTCGACTTTTGTATCAAACGCGATTTTTCCCCCCACATAGAATCCTGCTCCCATCTCCTTAAATTTTGCCAATTTTTCAGTTGGGAATGCTATTTCAGTCTCATGCGCAGGTGCCTCCAGGCTAAAAATTCATAAGCTGCCGATATTTTAGACTTGATCGATGCGGTGTATCGCACGCCAGGAACTGGGAGAAATCATCTGTAAATCCTCTCATTTTGTAAATTAGACGGCTATCTTTAGTATTTTGTTTTTGTTCCTTGTGAAGGTTGCAAAATTTCTCTGTTGAAAAATATCAAACCATACATCTAAGTGCTTTATTGAGATGAACTGAGAAACTTTTTGCAACGTTGATGATAAAATAACATTTAAAAAAAAGGCTGGAAGCTAATCTACAGATCATGTGTTTATACATTAAAACAAATCCGAAAGTTCAATAGAATAGCTTTTTAGATTGAAAGCAAACAAAAAGCTTTAGTGTTTTGGGTTAATATATTTTGAGAACGGCTGGAAACGAAACAAGCATTTAAATAACCAAATAAAATTACTAGCAATAGAGCTCTTGAAATATTACTCACCAATAGACGGTCGATAGACTGCAATTGGCAGTGAGTCTAATCTTTTACGAATCATATCCTCTGCCATAGCTTTCGTCAAAACATACGTGTTTGGCGATTTGTTTAAAACCCTGAAAGACAGAACAATTTTAATAGTATAATAGTATAAAATTCTGTTTAATGAAGTATGTGTCATTCATGCATAATTTTTCTCGGATCACTTAATTGTTGTTTCAATTTGATTGGAAACAAACCAGGATAGGTATTTTTCACCTGCTTGAAATATGAAGCTTCCCTTTTTTGAAATCAGACAACTCCTGCAAAGTGCTTGCTGAAAATTTTCTGAAAAAGTTGTTGTTGTTGTTTGATACATTTATTTAAACATGTTTTAACATAACTCGGTGAAGCATTCTCGAATAGAATGTATACCTGTATGTTATGACGCAAAATCTATGAAAAAAAAAAACCGACAACGTAGTGCTTGCAATTTAAATATTTTTCATAGAGGTACAATCATTTTACATCGTTACAGCAAACATCGAGAAAATCCCCTAAAACCCCTTGAAGCTTACCAAGTCCACCCGAACGCTCCTCTGGAGCTGGAGGAGTCCCTCAAATCCCCAATCTGCCTTGCTGAGGAAAAAACGCCGTATGAACATTCGAGAGTTGCCAAATTTTCCGTGATAAGACATGCATTTTTGACGATATTTATGCACATTTTTCTTTTAAATTGTCAGGTATTTTAGATTAAATTACGTACAAAATAGTCTGAAAATTTTGAGGAAAAATATTCAAATTTTCTCAGGAAATTCGGGTTTTATCGAAGGAAACTTGGAAACGTCTGAAGGCCCATACGGCGTTCTTTCTTAGCATGACAGCAATGGTGTGACGTGTCGTTTCTCTGCCTCCCAAATTTCCCTTGAATAGGTGCCTCTTTTTCCCCCTCCCCCCCCACAAAAAAAAAGTTTCTACGTTCTAAGGCACTTTCTAGGTACTCCGTATGAATTTTCGTTTTCCAGCTGCTATGATGAGAATGCATACGGACTCACTGACTAGTAAGACAAGCTATGGTGTAATCATCAGCAGACCGTAGGAGTGCCTCTATTTCTGCCTCGGTATAAGGACTAGGATAGAAATTTTCCGTTACACACTCCGTTTCCCGATGGCATTGACTGAACGCAGTGGAAACATGCACAAACGCCTGAAACAGGTATTGAAGGATCATTGTACACGATAAGAAATTTTGAGGATTTTTTCCTCCCATTTCTTGTTCCTTTATTGACCTTACCTGCTGTTAAATGTTTGTACAACAACATGTAGTATAGAGATAGCATCGGAAAATCTCGAAATTTACCAATATATAAAAATTTCAATATTGTCAAAGGTTATAGGACATTTCGTCAACGATTTTTTGTCCGCGCACCTGTTTTTCCGGTTATTCACGTCCACGCGTTTTTTCGGCACGGGAGTTTTGGTCCACGTGCCAGTTGAGACCCAAAGTTAATTGGCCCACATGTAAATACAAACGACAATTGCTCACGACGTTTTTGGATGAAAATATATAATGTCTTGGAAGAATGGGGGCTTGCTCGTTTTTTTGTTTTGTCTGTTTGGTCCAACGGAGAATAATATATAGTTGAGAATTTTGGTAAAAATGGGGGAGCGTCAATTCCATAAGACAAAATTCACTAAAACTCTCTACACCTGTTTGGTGTAACATGACTTAATTATCTTTCAAGAAATTCCCACCTGGTTATACCTGAACCGGCTAAACCTCTATATTTGCCTCAGCTAAAGGCTCTTAGATTTTTCCTGTGTACGATAAGTATCTTGATTTATTTTGCGAGGAAAGATCTGTACTTTTAAAGGATGCCTGTCATTCTTAATACGTTCAATTTCGTATAATACTGTGTAACACCTCTGTTGTGAAATAGTTGCTTCAGGCACCGCCGCACGGCGGGCGGGCGGCCAGTGTGAAACGCGCATTGGCGCCTACAAACCTAAGTGGATACTTCAAGCATTGTGCAATGCGTGAAGTATCCACTTATGTTTGTAGGCGCTAGTGAGCCTCTCGTGCTGGCAGCACGCCGCTCCGGTCTGTTCGGCTTTAATATTTATACTCGCATAGTCAGCGTTTTTTAACTTATGATTTTGAAATGTTTGCACACTCTGCATAGATTATTCTCATTCAAATTGATGGGAAAAAATATGTATCAACTTATCAAAGGAGAATAATAATATGATGTATGTTTTTTAAATATTGGTGGTTCCGTGTCAAATTTAATGATTTCCAAGGCACTTTAATTTTTTCTTTTACATTTTGTGCTCTACCGCTAAGAAATGTTCTTATAGACAAACGATCGAAACTACCTGCGCATTACGTTAAAAGCATAAAATACAGTTTTCACAGCTTTATTTATTTTAAAAATGGCCCCCCCAAAAGCCTACACATCGATGAGCTGGTACGCCATTTAAACAAATTAGCACTAGTATACTAGTACTCTAGAGGCAAGTCAAAATCAAAAAGCGCTGGCTATTGGCTGAGCGCTTAATACATTTAAAAGTGAGAAAATGCACCACTAGGTGACGTAATCTGACAGCCTCTCATTTAAATACGTGTATTTTAGAGGATTAAATTATTTTGCCATATCTCCTCCAGTTATTGAGACGTTTTTCGGTAATAGGGAGTATGAAGCTTGCAATGCTGTTAAGATTGTGCGATTTTTTATAACGTTTGTGGCAGATGAAATTTATTCACATTCGACTTACTTCCTTACAATAGTGAAGAAAAACTCGGAGCAGATTCAACGAAAAATTCATAGCAGAACTATGTCGGATAAGTTATACTTACAACAAGAGACGTTGCACAACCTTAGCAGCACTGAAAGGTTGCATACCACTTTTTACCGAAAAATGCCTAAATTGTTCAATTTTTGAGCCAAGGGCAAGGGCACTTACCTCGTGTTTTATTTTCTCAGTGTTCTCTAATTACATGTAACTCTCTTGTAAACATGCAATTCACCAAAATTAAGACACCTGCAAATTCTCCATTATGAGCGTAATACACTTTGAGTCGCCTTGAACGATGATAGTATATTAATAGTTATCATTTCTTTCACATGGACGTATTTATGCTAATTGAACTATGTGCAAGTGGAAATATGGGGTGTGCTCTTTAGTCGAGGGCCATAAGAATGAATGGGGCTTTTAAAGCGCCAGTGACGTCAGCGGCAACGTGCGAGGAGCCACGACGACGAGGAGACCAGTGGCGGGACTCTTTAACTCATGAGCCCTGTTCACAATGCTCTTGTGATATGCCCGCGGCTCACAAGTTAATGCTCAGTTCCTTTTGATTTAATATCAAATCCCGCTTTTCCATTTTCTCAAAAGGAACTATATCCACTTTTACATTGTTTCTTATCCAGCTTCCACTAGCACACCCCATCTTTCCACTTGCGCATAGTTCCTTTTCGCATAAATACGTCCACATGACTTCAGCCTTCTTCATTTCTTCTCAAAGAGGGGCATTGAGGAAAAAAAAAGGGGTCGAGATTACCTTCAAATTTTTCATAGCTTCAGCCATGTCAAGAATATCCCTCAAACTGGCCACATTTATTGTGTAGGCTCTCCTCAGGTGTTCGTCGAACCTGACGGTCGCGGCCACGTGGATGATGACGTTGACGTATTTTTTCAGTGTGTCTGTATCCGAACTGCTAATACCCAAATTGGGTTGTTCCACGTCTCCGCGGATGATTCGCACCTTTTTCAAAACGTTGCTCTGGCCCTCTAGTAGTCGGGAGAATAACTGAAAAATTACGAAGAAAAAATATTCATTCACGAACAGACGGAATAGACGTTTGGCCCCGAAACTGCCCGACTCGGAATCGCAAGGACCGATTCAAGTCCTTAACAGTTCATTTTAAACTTTGAGGAGAATATTTTCAGCGGGACGGTGTTTTCACACATACTGGAAAAGAAACCCATTGGATCTTGAGTCCGGACTCTTAAAAACATCGACAAGAAAAAACACTCTTGATTCAATCGGATTTTAGCTTTAATCAAGAACCAAGCCTCTTAATTTGAGCGGATTTCCTTTTGATTTAAGCAAAAATCTGATTGAATCAAGAGTATTTTTTCTTGTAAATGTTTTCAAGAGTCTGGACTCCAGATACAATGTGTTTTTTTTCCAGTGCAAGGAAACATAATTTGATGTTGCTTTAATTGGTGGCTCATTACCCCATTGCTACTTGGCGTTAAATGGACGTATTTCTGCTTAACAGAATCAGAGACAGATGGGAAAGAAGGAGTGTGTTCGTTAGTCGAGGGCCGTAAGAACGAATGGGAATCATAAAGCGCCAGTGACGTCAGCGGCGACGAAGCCGCCGCCGCGATCACCCGTGGTGGTCCTCAACTCATGAGCCCTGTTCACAACGCTTTTGTCACATGCCTACGGCTCATGAGTGCCGTATATTTTGGTGCTTGGTTCCGTTTGATTTAATGTAAAATCCCATTTTCCCATTTCCACAAAGGGTATCACGTCCTTTTTTACATTGTTCCTTATAAAGCTTTTTAGAGCACACCTCATACTTCCCACGCGTCTCTAGTTAGCAGAAATACGTCCAAATGATACTAGAATAATAATGGTTGGTTTATCTTAGATGTTTATAGAAATGTTTTTTCAAGGGAGTTTTCGAAACTTGAGAACCGAAGTTTTTTAGTGGTGTCCTTAACCCCTGTAGTGTTCGAGTAAGCAAGGCTAAGTAGAGTGAGATGTCGTCTATTTTACCATTTCTGTCCAAACCGTGAAAGATGAAGCATAGAGTGTTCTATTGCTCACGGTCTGAAAATACAGTGGAGAACGGTGGAAAAGAACGCTCTTTGGGAAGAGCTATGGAACAATAAAGCTCTTTGTTTCATACAGAATATGACTTTTCATGATTATCTGGCACAAAAAATTATAATTTGATTATGTGAGGTCAAAAACAACCTATCTCTATCTTACACAGAAGATAGCATTTCAAATCATGAAGTGCACTCCGTCTGATTACGTGTGCAAAAAGAACTTTCTCATGATTGAATTGCATGCTTACCGGATTACGAAACATCTCGTTGATTCTTTCCTCTGCTGATTTGCCTTTGCGACATCTCACGAGAAGGAATAACTGCTCAATACCCGGACATGATCTGAAAATTTGGAACAAAAATTCGTAGTTTTCTTTTCGAAAAAACGTAACTATATTTCAATGTTACCAAATTTTCCTTCGGTTTTTTTTTACCAGAACAATCTTGCATATATCTGTAACGGGAAATTTCACTGATCTTTTTTCTAATCTTATGAAACAATCAGAACATGTTTTTAACAAAAACCGCGCAGGTACACTCTTGTATAAAAAATTGAAAAGTTAGAGTCAATTTTGCAGCCTTGGAATGCTGTTACGTTCCTTCGAGCAGGATACGACGAATTTTAGACGATAAAATATATTGCAATAAAAAGGAATTTTTATTCCTCTGAAATTCTAAATTTCTCACGAGACGGTTTTGAAATGTCAAAGGAGAACTCGTCATCATGCCCGATTGCTCGACTGGAAGAAATATTCATGATCATCACCTACCATTATAACGGAGAGGACCCAGGATTAAGGAGCCCAAAACGCTAGCAATAGTATACAGTTTGAGTATACTCAACTAACTGTAGGTTTGGAAAATAAGAACATACTGGTATGCCCAAGGCTCTTACATTTGTAATTTTTCTCTAAACTTAATCGTAAACATTTCTGGAATAAATTGTAGTGTTCAGTTCCAACGAGCCCTGAGGCATTCAGAAAGCAGAATCCCAGGTTTTATTTTATTTCTTTCTACATCAATAGTTCAAAAACCCATTTAGAGATTTAAAAAAATCTACACACTGGTGTCTCAAACTAACTCCAGCGGTTATGGCGGACCAATTTGCCTTCAAAGGACGAGGTAGGCAAAATGAGCTCCTACGAGTTCGTATAGTGGTATTCGTCGTCTAATTTGTAGGCTTTTGCCATTTTTTGTGTCAGAGCGACGTGCGATATCGCACGTCGCTCTGACACGAAAAATGGCAGCCGTCGAATCACCCTAATGACTTTTCTCCTTACTCTGAATTTTGATTCCTTCTTTTGAATTCGACCTTTGGAACATCTTACTCTCCTTCCTCACCTCGTCCATCGAGGTCTTAAAAATGATTTTATTAGCATAGAGAAGATATTTAAAAAAATTCTTAGCAAAAAGCAGGGCCTCGATAGAGACTCTGTCCTGAAAAGGCCTATCAGTAAAAAAAAAAAAAAAAAAAAAAAAAAAAAACCCTTTGATTGCAAAACGCTTAAGATTTGCGCACCGTCTTCAGACAGCTTTTCTATACAACAGGAAGTGCAGGCGAGACAATTGGCCTACTTCTTGGCTCGCTGTTGCCGTCAAAAGTTGCTAAGCTCTTGAGCTTAACGTCAAAGTATTCGTTGATAAAACGATTTTCTGCTCCAATTGGCGATGTGCATTTGAAAGTCATTAACGGATTGTCGCTATGAAAAACAATGAAAGTCCCGACCGTGACCTTGTACCATGAGCTTACGTTATACTCCCTCTGTCTTTACCTATCATACAGAACCGTTCAGTGTTGCCAGGTTACACAAAAAATGAGGATATTTTACATGGATTTAAATGAGGAAAATTGATGGTTTTTAGCACTCTCTGGCAACAATGGAGCCGTTACATCAGGAGAATCGTTAAATCACGGATAGTTTTGTGATTGGCAATAACTGCGGCTTTTTCTGGATATCGATTATGAAAGTAAAGTAATCATATTTGATATGCATTATTGCACCCTATAATTTGATATAAATATGATAATAAGTATGCCAAAGGTGCTCGCCAAAGAACCTTTGGGAACATTGGACTGCATTTTGCGATTTGGAACTATAAATTCTGGTTCATCTGAAAAAACACTTGTGTGCATAGGGAAACTAATGGCACATACGTTGTTTCTTAACCGGGCCGACATTTATAGTTCCTAATTGCAAAATGTAGTCCAATTACTATCATTTCCAAATCAAAAGTGAAGTACCACGTGCCCACATTTGCGACAACTAAATCACCTGCAAAATTTGGCTTTTATCAAGAAGGTCTGGCGATAATTTTTTACACGATCTCATCGCACAAGGGGTATGTAATAATCAAAATTGGACTTTTAGAATAATATTTATTTTATGACTCAGAAAAGAATCCTCAGCATTTAGACAAGAAAGTGTCAGTTGTTTTCTAATAACGCTTAAGTCGCTGAGTTCAATGGGTAGATTTAAACAAGATTGCTTCATTCTTGTGAAAAAAAGAGTTGACTTCAAAAAGAGGATAAGGCGGCAAAAATTTAATATTTCAGAAATGTTATCTTTTCATGTATTAATTAAGGGGGCAAACAAACACGAAATAATGCAACTCAAAATCGAAATTTGTTCGTAACACATTTTTTTTAGAAAAATACTGCTCGTAGTTTTTTCGTCACGTGGTTTCTCGCAACCATGGTCAAGAAACTCCCTTTTTGATAGTGGTCCCACGATTAATCAGAAAAATCTGCTTCGCTCCTTCCTGAACACCACCCTGTTCGCTCTCAAGTATGACTCACCTGGCTCAAACTATGTATGAAAAAGGGATCGAACTTTAATCGTGACCTTGAGTATATCACTCTGAACCAAAAATAGCCAAAGTTAGTAATCAAGGTCAGTAGATACGAGACTGCAAATTCGATAGACAGGAAACAGTCGAAGCTACAGGTATCCCAATATCAAAGACATGTGGCAGAAGAAGTTGTGGCTATTGAACGGCGCGACAAATAAAAAGGTCATTCATGAAAGCAAAATCCGATTAATTTCGATTGATTGTGACTCGTGTCGGACAATCGCACGTTTGCCAAATGAACATTAAAATTGGATATTTTTAGGCGGACGGGATGCATCTAAGTTTGGTGACTCCTCGTAAGTCCCCTGTGTCAGATAGCGGTTTCTCTAAAATTTTTCTCGCAGATAGGTGTCATTTGCTTTAGAGTACAATTCAAAAATCCGACAAAGAAATAGAAAACATTTCTATGTGGTCAAGGAAAGGTAGTTGGGGTATTTATATTAAAACTTTTACACTTTGAAAGAATCAGAAATTAAAGTGAAATGCTTTATTCGTGCATATATTAATCAATATCTTCGAGGGCTGATTGATAGTTTTAAAAACAAACCCAAAAACCCAATTGTGACTTTTTAGTAATTCAATCTGGGCTCCATTTCTTTTTTTTTATTCTAGAGGAAAGTTATTAGGTTGAAGTATTAAACTAACCTGAGCAACTTTTCGACAAGGACCATTCCAATGAACCCGGTGGCCCCCGTAATAAACACACTGGCTCCCTCGTAGAACCTTTGAATCTCGGAAACTTGATGGGAATCGGGCGCCAAGTCTGGGGAAACCTCCTCCTCTCCATTGTTGCTGCAAATAAGCTCGATCGGTTCGGGGAACGCGAACACCATCTTCGATTTATAGTTACAGTAAGAGTTTTCGTGTTTTACCCTTCACGTTCACCGAAAGCCTGAAAAAGACAGAAAATATCAATCTAAAAGTATTACCAAGTAGTGCTTTAAAAATGAGGAGAAGATGAAGTTGAAGAGAAAATTACAATTTTCAAGTAGTATTTCTGATTAAATGATTTCACGGGGTTATTAAAGCTCATTGATGGACATAATACACCTAACCCTGCGGCATCTTTGACGGGGCTGATGGACGTTCATTCTAACAAGTGCGAACAAACCGATGGTATTGCTCGACATTTTCACAGAATTTTCTTCAAACGGAAAAGAAAAATAACCGAATAAGTTTTCTACGTGGAAAATAAAGTTTGCAACGCCGAAAACCGAGATTCGCGTTTTTGCATGCACATTTTCGAAATGTTTTATGAATTATTATAATTTTTTCCCCCGTAATTTTTACTTCAATAATTGATCACATTAAAAAAGGACCCTAGCTCAGAATAAGTCAAAATCAAGTTACTGTTACCATAGCATTGTCAAGAAGACAGTTTCATTTATAACTGGATGTATTTATACTAAAAGGAACATTTGCATAGGGATTGCGTTTAACATAGGTCCTTTTAGCATGGATAGGTACGTCTCTTTTTGGGTAAAAACGCCCAAATATCGTCGCTTCTCTGACGTGAGTTCGCGAATCTCTAGTAACATATGAGCCCAAGGAACCAGATACGGACGTATTTATACTAAAAGGAACTATGTGCATAGGATTTGTATGGGAAATAGTTCCTTTTGGCATAATACGTTTATAAAACTATACGAAGAACGGGGTGCAAGTGGAAATTGTGATACGCCGCACAGTGAATCGAGTCAATGGAGTCAGAGGTCGGACAAAATTGGAAAACTTTCGTGAAAATTTCTTCCAGAAACACCCCTTGCAATTTAAAATATGCCGAAATTAACATCCAAATTCGCAGTCTCAGTCAAAAATTTCATGTCCAACCTCGCTGATTGACTCGATCCACCGTGCACCGTTACGTCAGAGGAGCGATGAAATGTCGAATCAAATCACAGTGGTGGCGGCAAGTTGGCAATTCAAAAAATTAAGTTTCGAGGAAAAGCCACTTATTCAAAATCCTGATATGCAATGTTCAAGGTACGAAATTGTCCTATTGCTAACTGCACCGCACGCCCAATATTGGCATTACGCATTGGCGATTCTTGAAATTTGGCAACGCTGTATTTCCTCCATTTAAATACATTGAAAATATCGATATTAGGTTCACCAAGAATCAATTGTTTTGTATACTTTTAAATGGAGGGAAAACAGTGTTGCCAAATTTTAAGAATTGCCACCAGTCATTACAACGAATTAAATAGCTCGTAACTTATTCTTGGAAAGTAAACAAAATCCGTGAAAATGTAAAAATCCAAAATCATCGACCCACTTGGAGAAAAATTGCCTCGTTGAAAATCCTGCCTCCATAAACTGGAAATATTTATGCCAAAAGGAACTATTTCTCATTAAAACCTCATGCACAATTGCACATAGTTCTTTTTAGCATAAATACGTCCAACTAAGGCCCTTTTCCCGCGGACGGTGATATTCATGAGAAGTGCCTCTTTACTCTTCATGATAACAGCAGACCCACGCAACCATTGTGTTTCTCACTTAATTATGAAAATCCCATTTTCCTATTTGTTAGTTTGACAACTAATTCCATGAATAAGAAACATCCCTTCAGCGCAAAAAACAGGTACTTGATGTGGCATTAGACACTGCCTATATATAACCTCACCTGCGATTAAAAAGTGAAAGTCTCGGATTGAAGTTGATATCATGCTTTTGCTAATTAATATGAATTATAATACTGCATCAGGATCTAGGTAAGCGTTACAAAAAAGCGTGAAATTACAGATTTACAAAAAATTATTAGTCATGCAGTTGGGCAAAATAGACGACCGGCAAAATGCTTAAAAAGCGTTACAACATGTGCTGAGGGGCTAGTTGAATGGTAAACAAACGAGTTACTCGTATTATAGAGCATTATTAGACTTATCTCTAAATTAAAACGGTCGATTAGTTCAAAGCTCGCAGGTTGTAAGAAATTATCCATAAAACATGGACTTACCGAGATTTGCTGGGAGTTTTAAGTGAGTCGGCACGTTTGAGGTAAATTCCACGTCAATTTTTTCACAGGACATCTCCAATAGAACTGATTTGAATACCTCTTCCCTCCCCGTAAGCGTCTCAATGAGTCAGTATCTCGTGGCTTCTTAATAACATGCAATGATTTTGCTCGCCTTTTGAATTTAATGAAACAACGTTGCCGCCTTGAGCCAAGTTGGTCCTCTATAGTGCCGTGCCAAGGAAAAACGCCATATGAACATTCGAGTGTTGCCAAATTTCCTCCGATAAAATGTTTATTCTTGAGGAAAGTTATCACTATTTTTCATTGAAATTTTCAGGGACTTAAGGTGAAATTGTGAGCAAAGTTATCTAAAAAAATGGAGGAAAGATATTTACAAGTTTACCAATAAATTCGTGTTTTATCAGGGAACATTTGGCAACGCCTGAGGGTTCACACGGCGTTTTTTCTTAGCACGGCAGTATACTGACAAGAGTACGTTAATCCGATATTTTCACGATTGACATTAGGAATAATTAGAGTTTGCTGGTCATTTTTGTTTAGTATGGTTTCTGGAAAAATATCAACCGTTCACGTTCAAAGAAAGGCACCATTTCGCTTTGAAGTGCCCGGTTCAACTAAATCTCATGACGGTCACTATTCTGCTTTGCTAAGGCGAAACGCCGTAAGAACATTACCAAATCCCGTCTTAGAAAATATTTATTTTTTAAGAAAGTTATGAATATTTTTCCTTGAAATTTTCATACACTACAGATCAATTACGAACAAATTTCTCTGAAAAATCGGAAGAAAATACTTAAAACTTTCCCTGAAAATCCGTGATTTGGCGAGTTTGGCAACGTTTGCATTTTCTAGTCGTCGCCTTTCCAACATCCGTTTGATTTCTCCGTTCTTTCAACAATGTTCTCTACTTCCCCGCACAAATGTAGCAGTAATCTGTTTTTTTTTTTTCACTATTGTCAAGATCCGTAGTTTGATGCAGTTTTTTCATCGTTATATTTAACACGGTAGGCAGGGTCGGACTGGCTCACGTTTCAGGGCGTGGATCCTTAGCCGGCCCAAGGGGCGTAAAGTGATAATTTGCGTGAAAGGCGGTCCAGAAATGTCTGGCAAATCAGCACAATTTTACGCTATTTTCAGGTTCAAAGTTTATTAAGTACTTGCACAGAGCAAAAATTGCAAAATTGAACACTTTTAAGTAACCGGGATACTTGTGAAATTAAAAAAAAAAAAAATTAAATCAAGGCTGTAGGTGTCAGTCATGCATCCATGCATCATTATTTCCAGAGGAATCGAGCCAAAGCTTGCAACCTATAATACTGCTTTCAAAAACTAAAATTCGGAAACTGATGCATCATTATCGGGTTTTCGGGTTCATGAACGCGAGGAATATGTGCGCCGAAAAGATCTTCTTAACTTCATCGAAAAATGGAACATCCAATTTAGAAAGTACGAGGTGGAATTTTGAAAGAAAGAAGAGGTGTTCAGTAAGAGTTAGTTCGTTAGTATAATTTTAAGACATTTAGCGTCTCAGGCTATTAACGTCTTTAAAGTAAAAATGAAGAGATAGGAATACATGTAGATCAAATGCCCCAGAGATTTAAAGCAGGCTGCAGGAGGTCTCATTCAACAATCATTTTGTTGGCAATGACGATATTTTCGCACGTCACCGAGCAATTGGAGCCTAATTTTGCAAGATTAATTAAATCTAAATTTTATTGAAAATCACTGACTGATTGTGATTGGTTTCTTTTGGTTCCTCTCTTGAATCCTGAGTTTTTGGCGAACAAGATGCAGTACCCAATATTTTAATGACATTTTCATTAACCCTTAGATGCTGAAGCCCGGTCAAACTGACAGGAGACTTGTTTAAAAAACGTGCCACGAGAGTTGTAAGGGACCGCGCGGTACATACAAGCCGTAGATGTAGGTCGGTAAATTAGAAAAACAACCAAACTTCAAATTGAAGTAGGAGAAAAAAAAAGGAACAACAGAGTTGAGACGTAATCGGGCCTAGTTTTTTAAATTTTTTCTCGAATCTGAGCGACATCTCACTGGCAGCATAGAACTGAGCATTGCGAGTTCACCCCTAGCGCCATCGCGCCTTCAATTTTGCAGATGCTACATGGACATCCATCATGTACGAATAGTTGTATCTCTGTGCCGTCATCAACGCGCTTCCTTTTAATTTGCTCTATCTCCATACTGTGTTTCTTTTAGTTTGTTTTCTTCATATTTTTAGCGGTTCTTTAAAGGCTGTATGAGCAACACAGCCGTAAATAGGAGAGCCGTAATAGTCGAGCCTCGTTTCTTAACTTCACATCATCGGCAGCATAAAGCGGAGCTGCGGAACATCGCGCATTTACAGCTCGCACCATCGCGCCTTCAATTTTGCAGATGCAACACAGACATCCATCAAGCACGAATAGTTGTATCTCTACGCCGTCTTTCCATTTGCTCTATTTCTATGTTGTGTTTAGTTTGTCTCATTTATAGTGGTGCTTCAAGAGCTACGTGAGCGACACATACGATTATTGGATGTGCCATAATCAATTATCATTTTGAAAAAAAAAAAAAAATGTTAGAGGTCTCTCAATCGATCAAAAGGGCGCACGTCTAAAAATTGACGTTACTACCTCTTCTGAGACATAGTGACACATGGCGGATGGGGGAGGAGGTGATAAAGCGTCTTTATGCTACCAAAATGGTGAAAATTTCGAAGAAAATAATTTTTTACCGATCTTAGAAATTTCATGTATAGGTATTTTGACACTTGACAAAAGTTCGAGAGCTATTTTCATTTCCGCACTTAATGACGCTCATCATCCCCTTTTCGAAAACTACGATCGAGAAGAAATTTCAACGCCTCAAAGCTAATTTTACGACGGAGAGTGATTAATTTTTCGCGTAATAGTGAAAGCTAAAAGCGTAAAGCGTAATAGCGTAAGTTTGCACTTTATTTAATCGAATGTCTGCTAGTGAATGAAATAATTGGATTGCATTTTGCAAAAAGGAACCACTAGCATTGCAATGTTGCTAAGATTGTGCAACTTCTTTTGTCTTGGGGGAACAACCCGATTATCCATTAATAGTTTCTATTTTACTCGCTAAAAACTGTAAATTTAAGACAAAAATTACCATCAAAATTTCATAGTTTTTCACGATTTCCGCAATTTTATTGCAAAATATGAATTTGCACAATCTTAGCATCATTACAATGCTAGTGGTTCCTTTTTGCAAAATGCAATACAATTGTCATTCGTTACAGCTTGATTAAACCAGTATATCCCTCTTTTTCACATTCTATTCTTCAAAACATTGAGCCACGGATAAAAAATCTAAATTCAGCAAATGAAAAAAAAAAAAAAATATATATATTCTTCCAGCATTTTTGTTGGCCCAGGCGTCTCTGGAAAGTCATTTCCGGTTTATGGTTCCAGGACCTGCTTCACCTCCATCATGCGTACGAGGACCTTACTTTACTCTTACTCTCTCTTCTCCCGTTCATTTATGAATTTTCCGCATTTTTTCTCGGTCAGAATTTTATCTCTCATCTTATTTTGGTATATGTAGCAGAGGGGCGCGTTTTCGATGCGTTAGGGGGCCGTAAAACAAATCGTGATAAATTGAGATAAAATTGAGCTTTTATCGAACGAAATATACAATTTCAATTTTAAAGTGATAAATTAGCGACCATGTCAAGAATAATATCTCGGGTGTTATTTAATGGTCCCGGCGATTTCATCGCCAAAAAATCGTAACTTTTTTCCAAAATATCCAAATATCCCTATTTTTCCGTTAAAAATGCTACATGACAAGGTACTTTAGTCATGAACCTCGGGAAAGGTTTTTTAAGACTCATCGTATTGTAAATAAGTTTCTCTTTGAAAATGGACTGAATCGGGTTTCGTCCTAGACCTTGCGAAGCCGCTTGGTAGCTAGTCTGGTGACATCATTTCGGCCTTGGAGAAGAGCGCGCGTCTCGCAATGAATGCGTTCAGATTGGCGGCTGAATAGTGAATAGGTCGGATCAGCACCCGAGTCCTGTCATCCTGATGCCCGATGCGGCGATGCGGTTAGGCCGATGCCATCATCAGGCATCAGGGAATCGAGTCAAAAGTTTTTTATCACCACGGATCCAACCGTGATCAACTCTTGGTCGTGTGGACTCAAGGTTGCCACTCATTCTGCCGTGATAAAGAAGAACGCCGTAAGAACCTTCAGGCGTCGCCAAATTTCCTTTGATAAAACACGAATTTCCTGGTAAACTAATGAATATTTTCCTTCCAATTTTTCAGATAATTTTGTCTCCAATTTTACCTGAAGTTCCTGAAAATTTCAAGGAAAAATATTCATAGCCTTCCGCAAAAAAAAAACAAAAAAAAAAACAACAACAACATTTTATCAAATGAAATTTGGTAACCCTCGAATTTGTATACGGCGTTCTTCCTTAGCACCGCAGCATTGCTCTACTGCGCTATGGCGGAGATACGCCGTATGGGCATTCGAAGGTTGCCAAACTTTGGCCGATAACATATTGGTTTTTAGAGAAGTTATATTACCAGTTGCAGAAATGAAAAAATCAGTTGGATTTTGTGTAGTTTTTAATTTTTTGATCAGAGTAAACGACAAATCGACGGTGTAAGTCGGCAATCACGTAACTCGTTTGCGGTGTCTGAAAAGCTCCGCCTCTAGGTTATTTTTTTAAAGGAGAACAAATTTACATCATTCCTTAAAGTTTTTGTAGAATTTTCTAAGCACAGAGAAGAAAAATTACGGTAGTTTTAAAGAATTGCCGTTGAGTAGTTTTCCGTTTAAAAAATAAAGTATGACAGAAAGTCTACGACGTCGCAAACCGAGTTATGTGATTGCCGACTTACACCGTCGAAATGGTCCATTCAAATAGTATACCTATGCAAAAAACTTCAAAATCACAAGTTGAAAAACGCTGCGCGAGTCTGATTGATTGCGCTAAACACTACGGTCGGCGCGAGCCGCATGTTAGCGCCTGCAAGACTGCACGAACACTTCTCGCATTGCGCGGTGCGCGCTGTTGGTGCTTGCAGGACTGCATGGATACTTCACGCATTGCGCGTACGCCACTGTGCGCGGCTCAATCGCAATCGTCGCGTTTTCCCGTTTCCCGTATTTAGTAGTTCAAAGTTTTATAGTGTAAACAACGTGCAAAGCCAGGTTTTTTTCTTGTTCTTCTGTCTCTACTTTCTTTCACTTACTCGCTCATCGATTCCGGGGATTTTTTCAATGAGCCGAGAAGTAATCTATATAGAATTATTTTCTTTCTCATGGCAAAGTATCATTATTTTTGACTTCCTCGACAATCCTGGGCATTTTTTTCTTCGTGAATAGCTCTTTATGAAAATGTTTTCTTACTTATTGTGAAGTATCATTATTATCGATTTCTTACTCTGAGGACATATTATTAATTCCTTATATTTCATGTCCTTTCATAGTTGGGAAAATTAGCTTTTGGATTCTATAGAATATTCCCTATATGAGCCCACACTTTTTAGATTGACCTACGAGGGGTCCGCGAAGCTCCCTCGGGGTGTTCAGCCGCGTAGCACCGCACAGTGCATCGAGTCAATTAGAGGGGTCGGATAAGAAATTTTTAACTAAAATTGCAAATTTTGAGGTTTATTTCGTCACATTTTAAACTTCAAGGAGTGCCTTCAAAAGAAAATTTCACGAGGAAATCATTGGAACCACTTCTAGAACCTCAAAGTTTTGTATAAACGGAGTTATAAGCGTTTAAAGTTCCCAAATTGTGTCCGACCTCTCCTATTGACTCGATCCACCGTGCGGCGGGGGGCGTAACCCCTAGTATCGAGGAAATTGGCGAGGGTCCCATCGCAAAGTAAGAGTAAAACACTTCACACAAGATCAATCCAACCAGTGATAGGCGCGCAGTTCTGAGAAACTGATGCGCGTGAAAATCTTGCGACAGTCCTTTCATGAAACATTTAAAGGACAACTAGGATGTCAGCCATGCGATGCTCGGTATCTTCACTTCACTAGATGAAGTAATTCTCTGACTTCACCACTGCGTCTGCGGTCCAGCGCGTTGTTTCCGGATTGTTAATTTGTAGCTGGAATGACATCATTTATCCTCATGTTGATTCATGTAGGAATGTGTACTTTCACGCCTGACAGTTGCGCCGTCTCAGACTAATGAATCGTTAACCAGGGTATGGAACTTCGCACCACAAGGAAAAGAAGAATCGTTGTTGTTGTTGTTGTTACCTACAATATACTCGTCTTTGGTGAATTTCAGGTCCTTCTCGTTTTTCTGGTTTTAAAAACATCGCTACTTTTGTAGTAACAAATAGTTCGTTACCACATTGTAATCAGGATCGATGTGTTTGTTATCTCAAAAGTAGCATTGATTTGACGATTAGAAAAGTACCTAGGTAAAGACCTGAACCCTCGGCGTTGTGAGAACTGTATTATAATTTTTTCTCTGCGTGCAGAAGACTTGCTTCCTCATTGGAATTTCAATCAGAACATGTTGTACAGGGTTATTCAAAAGTCACGCACCACTGGCCGTAAGGGGGGTGGCCATTTGAAATTTCTGAGTTGCCCCCCGCCCCCGATGGGATCAAAAACTGGAAAGTACCTAAAAAAGTTTCCCCCTCGATATGAGGAGATACGTCTCAGACCGTCGATATCATAATTACAACTAAAACTATGGCCGGTGGTGCGTGACTTTTGAATAACCCTGTGTATGCGTGAAATCAATGAACATGAGTTAGAGATTGTTTCTCTTATCCCTCGCGCCAAGGTAACGATGTCTACCTTCCTACTAAGGGAAAATACCAAAATCGAAGGAATTCAAATCAGTTCTTTAGAACAGAACAAACTTGTTATTGAGATTTTAGTTTCATAAACTTTTTTTCTTCCTGTGATACATCGTAGTTATAGACTTTAAAAAAAGATGCAGCGATTGGAAAAAATGTATTTCACCACAAAACTTGCGGAAATGTTGAATTTCCAGCTTGATTTCAGAAGCAATGTGTTTTCTGAAGTTTGAATTCACTGCAGAGGAAACGCTGATCCCTCACTTGGAAGTTAAAATTGGAAATTTTCAATGAGCTAAATCGAGCAATTTTGTTGAGATAATATAAATGCACTGGAATGATTTAATTTCACAATCCAACACACGGAGTTGCCCTAAAGTTCAGACATTTCTGTCATACTGCAGGGTCGGTGTGTTGTGTATTTTGCCTATCTACGAATTCAAGGGGCTTCTCTTGTTGAGGTTTACGGCGATAGAACTATTGAAAAAAGTTGCAATTTTTTTCTTCTTTTTTCACATTAAAAAATGCGTATCATTCTGAAGCGTGAAATTAATTTTATTGATCGTTTAAAGTCAGAATTGATCGACCAAGTAATGTAAAAATATGGCAATTTTTATTACATTAAACTGCAATTTTATTTCAAAGATTTTGTACACTGCATTGGGCAGGTCCTAAATAAACTCAATTATTTGCACAGTTTGCTCAATTTTAAACAAAGGCATGAAGATTGTTGAAAAAATAACTTTTTTTTTTGATCCGACTTTAACTGGGGCTCTTCTGAGTCAAATACTTAATCAATAACCTTTTCATCCATGATTTATTTTTCCTATTTTTTGAATCATAAGTTTAACGTTTGAAAAAAGATATGGTTACAGACAAAAGAGACCAAATTTTAGAAATATAATTGTTGTATTTTTGCAAAATTTTACATTTTCAACATTTTGTAAAAAAAACATTAACTGCAAATAATTCAACAAAATTCTACAGCTAAATGTGTGATGAAAGGAAAAAAGTAGAATGGGTTGACTTGCGAATAAAAAGAATAAATTTTCACAATGAAGCTTGGAACTTCAACTAGGCAGTATATATGAAAATATTTAAAACTTTCTTCCCAATCTGGATGAACTAAAATGATTTAATGACAACAGATGCACTAGACAGCTGTAATGAGGATGTCTCATCCCCAACAACATGAAGTTACATCAATGTTTAATGACTAAATAAAGATTAATTTGAAGTAAGTCGAGTATTAGGTAAAAGCAAACCACAAATCTGAATTCTTCTCTTTAAACAAGATGGAGGGAGAAAATTATATTAAGTTAGCTACAAATGAGAAAAAAACACTAAAAGGTGTCCTGAATACTGTATGTAACATAGTGGAGAAATGGTGCTGGGTCCACACCATTTCGTGGGGAAATCAAAGCAAGAAATTTCAAAAATTATAATTGGAGTCAAAAATATATTATTTTTGACCTATATTTATATTATATTTTTCAATGTACATTATTTTTGACTCTAATTATAACTTGTTGAATTTCTTGGCTTTGATTTTCCTGCAAAATGGTGTGGACCCAGCACCATTTCTCCACCTTGTTAGCTACAAAGATGGATAAAAAACCTGACTGAAAATGAAAAATCATAGTTAAGAAATGGAAGTTTTCACTTAAAGTTCTAGGGAAAGAACCAGGATTCAAACTTTATTATACATGAAAGACTTGTGAGTTTTGAAAAGTTTTACACAATTAACTAGGTAAGTAAAAAGAATTCACAAGAGAGTGAGAGGGCGAAATTGCCCCAGAGTACCAGATGCTTGAATAAAGAATAACAGATGTTACAGAAAATTGGGTATCATAAGGAAAAATGATTACCCACTTAAATAGCTATAAAAAAACAAGAAAATTGAATGAGAACATAAGACATCATTTTAGCAAATTTTACGCATGACATTATGACACTGAAATAGGGAGATTACAGACTTGCGTAATCTAGACTTCTAATCACTGATTAGCAATTTATACAAAATGATGCGATTTCCAGTAATTATTAGAATTGGAAAAAGTAAATACTAAAGTCGTTTGAAAGGTTCAAATAAGAGGACTAGGAAACATTTTTGCAGGTTTTTCACAAACTGAAATGTTGATTTTTCTCTTAAAAACTGACATTTTTGCGTCATACATTTTTATTAGCTACATAATGTATTTTAAAGTAAAAAAAAGTACATGAGAGACTGACAATATTCAATTGTAACAGCATTTGTTAGATTTTTCATAGAAAAAGAAAAAAAAATCTACGAAGAAACTTGAAAAAGTTAAAGTAATTTCATACTTTACAACAGCAATATGATTTTCCAGAATAAAACAGAGCAAAGGAATGCAATTTCTCTCTGGTTTAATTTTATTCAAAAAGTGTACTCCCTTAATGGTGACTTCCATGGAATCATTTTGGTACTGTATTACTCATGACGCCAAAAAATGAAATACAAATGAGTCTTGCTCGATTCAAATTCTAATTGCAACTACCTCACTTAATTGCATAACTTTCTTTAGAAGCTTTGTTGGCTTGCGTACGGAACCTTGACTGCTCTTTCTGATTCAAATTTTTTCAAAAAGTCAGAGTTATCATTATTAAAGCTAGTTTTTAGATTCTTCAAGTTACAATTTTTGTACAGAAAATGAAAAGAGCAAAAATTACAGTTGCCACAATACAAGAAACAATAAATTTTCGAGAAGAGCTATAAAAATTCAGAATTTTCTCATTTTGAGGACTTCAGTCATAACTGTAAGATATTTTATGAAAAAATCCTTAAGTTACTCAACGCAGAATCAGACCTGACTCACAAAAATCTCAAGTTTCTGTCAGAGAAACGTTCTCAGTAAATAATCTTTGGAGGACACTGTCAGGAGACTTCCCATTGAGAGAACATAAAAAAAAAAAAAAAAAAATTGGAAATTATCCTTCCTCTTTGACAAATCTTCAAATATTGGGAAGGGAGGGGGAGTTTCAACAGCAATTTTGATGATTTCTTGACTTAAAAAATAAAAATAAGAGAAGCTTCTGCTACAAAATACAAAAATTGAGAGCAGTATGTTTACTAAAGTAACACAATCTCCCGTAGGATTATCAGTAGGCTTCAGTGCATATTCCACATACATACATATTTACTGAAGTTGAGTCATTGTAAGAGAGGAACATATTTATCAGGGCAATGGAGGAAAAAATGGAGAGAATTATCCTGGTTGCAAATTAAAACGAATACACTTCATATGTACCAGAAAACAGTTTGAATTGGTTGTTTTCAGAGAATTCAGGGTGCCCACTTAATAACATTAATTTATTCTCCTTTTTCCGTAGTTTCTTTTTCCTCATCACTTCCTTTCTTCTTCTTTTTCTTTGCTTTTTTGTGATGATGATGTTTTTTCTTCTTACTCTTGGAGCTTGAAGATTTATTTTCTTGTTCATTACTAGAATTTTTTTCATCACTTTTTGGATCTTTTGCTTTACTTTTCTCATCCTTTTTTGAATTGCTTTCATCGTTGAACGTAATGGGAGAGTGCCCCTTTTTAGAGGAGGAATCTCCATTTTTGTCTGCTGTAAGATTTTCAGTCTTTTTGCTCTCAGTTTCAGGAGAGGGATTTTTTGTCGTTGAATCTTCCTTGCGCCTATCTGGAGAGTGTGACTTCCCTTTAGATTCATCTCTCGACTTTGACTTAGACTTAGATTTATGAGAATCTGCACGGCGACTACGTGATCTAGATCTATGCCTATGACGATGACTGCGCGATTTACTTCTAGACCTAGAGCGGCTTTTAGACCTGGATCTATTTCTACTTCTAGACCTACTATGAGACCTTGAGCGCTTTGAGCGGCTTCTGGATCGTGACCTTGAGTGCCTGGAATAGGATCTAGACCGTGAACGTCGCGAACTTCTTGATCTGGATCGAGTCCTGCTTCTGGACCTGGAGTAAGATCTAGAGCGACTTCTAGTGTAAGAGCGACCTCTGCTTCTTTTCCGAGACCTCGATCTTGACCTGGACCTAGACCTGGATCTAGAATATGATCGTCTGCTACCTTTGACTAATTTGTTAAAATACTTGTAGTACTCACTCATAGTTCCCAACATGTAAGGATCCATGAACGGTGGCATAAAACCACCTCGCATTCGTTGCCATCCATATCCACCACCACCGCCGCCACGTCGATTATAGTACTGATTTCTTTGTGGGTAATTGTCACGCTCATACATGCGGTCATTTCCTCGCCCATCATAAGCGTTGCGACCTCTTCCTCGACCTCGAACCCAAATTCGTCCTCGATTATCATTATTACCATCACGACCATTTGGACCATCTCGGCCGTTAGGACCATCCCTGCCTCGTCCTGGGAAAAACGAAAAAAAAAAAAAATTATTGAGAGGAGGATAATTTTCAAAGAAAATATTTGTATTGGCTAGCGCATCTAAAAAGCATGCTGTCTGAGAACAAATTTTCGGTGAATTTGGAGTGAGCTATGGGCAGTAAGTATTTCTTTAAGACTTAAAAGGCCAGGCATTTTCTCAAAATTGCCCATGCCTTGGCATGTCCTGAAAAAAGATATCATAACTATTGATTGAGAGGAAAAATGGACATCAAATATTTTTTAAAATATATGATTCTGCAATTTTTACCGATTAATAAAGACTTAAAGGTCAAAATCTGACTGTTTGGGATAGTTGGCATTAATATTCCTTGGAATGCTGAAAACTCAAGGAACAATACTTATGTATAAATAGTGAATTAACTCACTGAAAATCAAAGCAAGGCTAATTTGCCGAAGATGCACTTCTTATTTCAACAAATTGCTAATATGTGTCGGGACCATTGATGCATTTCAGGATGATCCCCATCTTCAGAACATGACATCTTTAAGAGCAAAATTCACTTGAGCCATGGGTTTGAAATGCATTAATGGTCCTGATATGTATTAAGAATTTGTTGGAGAAAAATGCTTCTTTGGCAAATCAGCTTTGCCCTGATCATCATAATACACAGATGCAACATGCGAATTAATAACTTTCTTCAATGAAAATGGGAAAAAAAGGCGAAAGAAAAATAGGATCAGTTCTCTAGACTTACCTCTCCAGTTGTTAACTGATGATGTATTGGCTGGTGGATTAAGTGTTTCGGCATCGACACTTGGCAGACTGCTTGTATCTGAGTCAAATGAATCATCACTAACTACACCCGCTTTGATCACAGCTTTGGAAACTGTTATGAATGAAAAAAGTATGATTAGATGAAATTAAAGAAAAAAATATGATTATCTTAACTTGAAAGGAAAATAAAATTTAAAAGAAAAATCACTGAAGTAACACATGATACTTTAAACTGACAAAAGAGGCTTCCAAAACTCTTCAGATTTAATTTTTTCTCAGGAGATGTCTTTCCAGATTTGAGTCGATAGGTTACTGCATCTCATACTGTACTTTTTTATTTTCAATGTAGTTCTCACACCAAAACCGTGCAAATTAATCTTTGCATCATAGAACATTAAACCTACGTACAGTGATAAAATTTACATTGTCCTTTTCTTTTAAAATCAATAATATTTTGGTGGAAAAATAAAACCTATTTACTATTATCATTTTCATCGCATTTTCTAGATTTGAGGTGGTGCGAAAGAATGGAAATGAAGACGTAGACATGTGAGTGTAATGATATTCTTAAAAATTAGACATCAGCATAAGAAAAAATTGATTTTTACCTTTAGGTTTTGTTTTCTGCGCTTCGACACGCTTTTCTTCATTTGATTTGAATTTTGCGATTAATTTTTCCCTTAGTAGTTGTTCCTTGGTTTTCGGAGTTTCAGCTAAAGACTTCTTGTACTGAAATAAAAGAGAGTTTCATCCATAATAAAAAATAGAAAAATCAAATTTTCTTGAATGCATTTCTATTAGGGGCCATTCATAAAATATAATATGGGAGGTTGAGGTGTTACGTCATTTTGTTTTTATGTATTAAAGGATAGGGACTTCTGTTACAAAAGCATAACAATGGGGTGAAGGAGGGTAAAAAAGTCCCAAATTTAGAATTACGTATTTCATGAATGGCATTGGCCCTCTAAGTTTTCTTAGAGCAACCAGCATAATTTTTTCTGCACACTTTGGTTTCGAAAAAGAGCTAAAAAAAACTCCGCTAGGAAAGATTTTGAGGTAACTAAATAACAGTTTATTTTCTATATCTCCGTCCCTTTTCAATCATGATGAACACATCACAATTGCTGAATTTTCCACAATGATTTGATAAATGCTTGACAAGGAATGACACAAGAAAGTAAGTAAACAATGGAGGCAACACTCATGGCAGCTGCAAAAAACAAGCAGCCATTATATTTGGTTCAAAATGGTTTTGTGTTGTGGGGGCAGGGCTTGTTTTCACACGCAAAATTTGGGAGCCTCTGATGTGAAAATGATTGTGCAATTACTGGAACAAGCAATGGCTGTTTTTGTGCTTTCTCCAGAGCAACACTAGAAAATACTGCTTCAGTCGCGACCTTGAAAAATTGGCTGTTCAAAGTCAAGTAAAAAAGACAGCAATATTTCGTAGTTTCAAACAAAATACGCATAAGCTAGAATCGATTTTCTCCAAAGAAATTGTTGAAATGGAGGGGGAGGGAGCATTTGAAAAACAGAGACACTCAGAAATGAGTCAAATTACCTGTCTTCTTTCATGCTTATCCATTTCTCTCATTAATTCCTTCCTTTTACGTTTCTCTTCTTTTTCTCTTTCCATTTCTTGAACTTTTTGATCCTAAAAAGAGATCAAGGAATAAAATTAGATAAAGTTGCAAATTATCATCAAACTTTAAATAAATATTTGAACCACATTTAAAAAATAAAAAAACAAATAATACAAAATCACCTTAAAATTTATTGAGTTTTACTGAATAAATCATCTTTCAAATCTGCGTAAAGTAATTTTAAACTTCTCTTCTTTGTTTACTCATTCGTACCTTTGGAGTGGTTCTGAAGCATACTCAATTCATTTTACACCACGAGAATTGTTACAATTCAATTTCGTGTATACTAAGGATGCAATTTGAGAAGAAATACTTTAGCTGATTATTTGACCAAAAAAATATTTTTTGAAGTGATTTTATACCTTGACTCTATCGAAGAGTTCACCAAGTAGCCTGATGCTCTCTAGTTTCCGCTGAGCCATTAACAAGAGCCTCTCCTCTGTTGCTATCTTGTTGTTCATCTCTTCCGCTTCCATGGCCTTGATTTTCTGCAACTGTTTCTGCTTCCGCCGTTCTTCTCTCTGTTTCCGTCGCAGCATCTTCTGCTTCTCTGCTTCCAACTTGCTCTGCCTGAGGATATATTATAAATTACTTTATTATAAATTATTTACATATTATACAAAATATATAATATAAACAGAAAGACGATCATTATGAAGACGAAGGTTATCAACATTATGGCCCGAATAACGCACAATTTAATTTAACGCACATTTTTTATTTAATTGACTGTGCACTGTTACATAGGCTCATGTTAAAATGTTGATACAATTTTTCATGGATATTTTCAAATATTTATAAGATAATGAATAAGTTTTGAAATGTTCTTCGGCAGCCTCTGACAGTCATTGCGGACAATTGACTGAAAATGAAAAAGTTTTTCACAAACTGCATGAAATTTTTGAAAGCCTTGTGTTCACGAAATCATCACAAAATGATCAGGTCCGATATTGGCATTGTATTACTATGATAGATGTCAAGTGGATCTTGTTATTTGACAGCTTACCTTCATACCTACTGCGCAAAAACTAGCTTATCTCTGCAATGATAAAGATAAATTGAGATAGTTTCCTTGTGGAGATAGCGCAACTTGCATTGATGAATTTTTTAGTAAAATTTGGATACACTCTTTTAACCACATGTTAGTAAATACACAGGCAGAAACCTGAGCTTAGAGTCAGCCCAAGAGTTACCTATTAAATAGCCGATTCATTTCCTAAGTGGCTTTGTACGGCTCTAGTGTGATGATGTCATGGGCGGTCACTTATAAAATGCACCCTTCATTGACGAAATGATGAGTAAGGGAGAGACTTTTTCATAATACCACTTCGGCATCATGGAGAAAATACTTGAGGGCGATGTCATTTGAGACTTTGTAAACAATGTGCAGGTCCTTAGACGATCCTACGTATTAAGTGTGATTTGATCAAATTCTAATGTTTAGAAACATGCAAAATGCTACAGCAAAATTGACAAAAACATCAGCTTCAAAGGTCTGGTTATGATACAGCATCATAAAAATGACTGAGAACGGCAGTTTAAATAATTTTCTATGAATCCAGTTTCAGCTCAGTTTCTTGTTTCCTTGCATGAAATAAGTGGATGCACATTTTTACTTTGCCCTCACGTCCTATATAGGTCCGTGAAATACATTTCTAGGTAGGTTTGAGCAAATGAGTTGAAAAATAAAATGGCCGAGAACATATATACAAAACAGCTGCTTTTACAGAGCAACTTCTCGCTCTGCAACATCCAATCGCCATTTCTCTCTATCTTCCCACAGATCAGTAGGCGATCGACAACTTCTGATCTCCTCTTCCAATCTCTGTCGCCAACCTTTCACAGGACATTTATGCCGTCTTCTCGCGGGAGAAACTTCATCGAAAACCTGCTTGGGCAACCGATTATTTGCAATCCTCTGCCTCGTGCCTTTACCAGACAAACTGCTTGGACCTGATGTCGTGCATTAAAACTTTAAGAGCGCAAATTCTGCAATATGTCCCCTACCCTTTTTATAGATTCAAAATTTTATGAGCCACCAATCCACCAAGAAGTCCAAAAAGAGGGAGAATTATTAACAGGTGAAGATCAACAGAATTTTTTTCCTTGAATTTAAAACAAGATAACTAAAAATGATTCATTGTTGAGAAAACTGTACTTGTTGGCATCCGCGGTTAGCCACTGTTGAATTCCTGAAAGAGGGGCCTATTCATTCTTTTCAGTTAAGAAGGGGGAAAAGTAGGTATGTAGGGAATTTCATGGTAAATATTTAAAAAGACAGTTCCAGATGAAATGTAAAATGATTTTTCGAGACAAGACTTTTACTCTGTTTTGAAATTACCTACAGTAGCTTATTCAGTTACCTAGAAGCAGAGGAACAAAAGATCCCCATAAATGTTGCAAATGTTTTCTTATATTTGTCAGCATTACAGACATCTTTGAACACATGTGTCCCTTTGGTCAAAGATATAACTGAATAAACATGCAAGTGAATTCAAAAAAGAGCAATGGACGTACGTTTTTTGAAAAGAATTATTACATTACGAAATTGATTCTCATACTTTAAAAAACAGAAAAAGTATACCTTTCTTTCTCTCTTCTTGCTTCTTCCTCCTCTACCTTCAGCCGCTCGTTTTCTTCTTTTTCTCGTTCTTGGGCAATCAACTTTTCTCGCTCCAATTTCCGTCGTTTGATTGTTAATTCACTTAGGTGTTTTGTCCGATCAAAGTCAACCTGAAATTGTTAAGAAAATGGCGTAGAGATTTGAAGTTAATTTGTTTTTAAGTTTTTGAGAAGATATTAATCTTCTTCTGAAACAAGCTTACATTGCTTTAAACTTAGCACTTTGAGATAGAGCTCTCTCTTTATTTATCAAGTATTTAGCTGCTTTAACTACTTACAAATCTATATTTATGAAATGATCCATTTTGAAATTTGTATCCTCTGTTGCCAAATGGTGTCAGGCCCCCAATTTTTAATACTCCAGATTTTGGGCTGTGACAAGACAAATAACAGATCTCACTGAGATCAAAAGCGGTTCACAAAAGTACACAGCCTGAGTTTCGAAAGAATCTCAAGTATATCTTGAGGGAACTATTTGGAGCAGAGATATGATTTTCTAAAAAATGACGAGAAAAGCTTCATTAAGAACTCATCCTGTAACATTCTAAAGTCTCAATTTTGTACTCATTTTCCAATTTTTAAATTAAATTTATGTGGTGGCAACCATGGGTTAAATTTATCAATTGACCAATTTCAGAGGTATCAGCTGAAAGCTGATTATCTTCTTTACATTTTAAGGCCAAGATCATATCTCTGCAACAAAAGGTTAATCAGATACCTTGCTTTAAATTTTTAACTTTGGCCCCTTCCAAGCCCCATTAACAATCCATTATCAAAAATCGCGAGTGTTATGAACTCAGGAGATATATATATATGAGTCGCTTTTACAGCGCTCTTAAGCGCTTTACGACGCCTAATCGCCACAAAGCTCGGTCTTCCCACAGGTCATCAGGGAGTTGACACTCCCTCATCTCGTTTAACACCCCCTGTCGCCAACCTCTCACTGGGCGTCCCCTACTCAGGAGATACTTCTCTATAAACCTTGCAAATATTTCTAAGATGAGGCAGAGGTTGGAAATGGCCGATATAGGCAAGATATATATATATGAGTCGCTTTTATAGCGCTCTTTGGCGCTGTGCGACGCCTAATCGCCACAAAGCCCACAAAGCTATAGGCAAGATTCTTAGGTGAAATTTTTGGATACGATTAAAAAATGAGGACAAACTTTGGACATGAGTAGAGACACTTTTTTACTCACCTTCAAATTGGCAGCTAGTCCCTCATCAGATGTTTTCTTCAGAAGCTTCATCCCACGCAATGATTCCATTGCTTTGACAAAATCTACATATTCTTCATACTGAATGTACGCCTCAAAAACAACGTTCTGGTGATGTGGAAACGTTGTGAAACCAGAAATATGTGACTTCATTTGCGTTCGATACGGATCAGCTATTGGAATATCCACAGCCCTTACAGGTCCAAAAACTTCAAAAGTTTTTCGTAAAAGGTATTCACAAGGTCGATCGCGGTTTTGCTTGTTTCTGAACCAATCAAGAGGCAAATTGGAGATGTGTATTGTGTCTGGCCTTTCCCCTGGTTTCATTTCATTCATGTTTTTAGCGTCACGAAAATAGGAGTCCCAATCATGACGAGTGGGGAAATCAGGCTTTGCTTCTGAGGCCAGAACTTTCAGCAATTCACTCCATCCCGAAATTTTGATTTTGCGTTCATCCAATCGAGCAATGACATTCTTGATTTTCGCTCGATTTTCGATTTCAGCTTCAAACCGAATGAATTCAAGTGTACTTTTCGATACTTTGATGCAAGTAAAAACCTCAGGCTGGGACCATTTTTTGAGTTGGTCGATAATTTCCCAATTTGAAATAGTTTTTCCAGTCTTTTTTGATTTGGGTATGAGAACAGAGATATTTATACGAGCGACTGGTTTCAGATAAAGGCTGAGAGAAGATGAAAGAGGTTTGACATCGCTCAGATCTGAACAGCTCTGGAAGACGTTCATCTTGCTGTTCTGTGCGGTCGAAGAACATAATGGAAGCCATCTTAGATTGTTGAATTTACAGCTCAATGACACAAGATTTACAGAAAGATGAAAAGACGTACAGTCATCGCTAAATATAACTGTAAGGGGCTAGAGAATTTGCACAAGAAAGGAGCAAACTGGACTGCAAAATAAAACTTAGATAAGGAGAAGAAAAAAAAAATCTGTATTAGTAGACAAACAAGATACCTATTAAAAACCTGGAGAAAGTGTTTTTTTGAAAAAGGTATACTTTTTGTGATGCAGCGATAATTTTAAACAAAATTTAATTTATGACACTTGTCCTACTCCCAGTGACGTTAAACTTGATTGAATAATGTGAATGGAGATGCAACTAATTACAAATAGTGAATTCTAAACAAAATGGGTACACCTATTAAAAAATTCTAATGTTCTTACACTTTATTGTTGGACGATTATTTCGGAGCCTCCCTTCATCTTTGTGGATGAAGGCTTCATCTTCTGAAGACGGAGCAAGGCTCTGAAACGGCTGTTCGACAATAAAGTGAGTGATATTGGAGTTTTTCAGGAGTTTGACGACTGGGTGTACCCATTTTGTCAAATAAAACACGCAAGGAGATAATCAAACAAAGCATGCAGTGTCCCACTTAGATTTTGATTGGAGCAAGCCAAAAAGTTTCTTAAAACGTATATTATTTATTTATTATGACCACTATTTCGCCAATTTTGCGGGTGGGAACCAGGAAACCCAATATTTTTTTTTTCCCCTTCCGAGGTGTTTCTTCTCTGTGTGAAGAAAATTCTGTGAAAACTTCAAGGAATGATGTTGATCCATTCTAATTTGAAAAAATAAAATGGGAGCAGATAGATTAAAACACAGCAAACAAGATACGTGGTTTGGGAGTTCTACTGTCAAAATATTCTTCCAAGCATGTAAAAGAAGCTTTTGACATCTTCTCTTGAAGCCTTTAAGAATCAACATTTTCATGACGACATGATTTAGATGAGATTATGTTTGAAAAGTTTTGACAATCGAGTAGAACTGAAGACTCTAGTAACTTCAACATAGGATCTTCAAAAGATTTTCTTTTTTCCATGGCATTTTCAACACAGCAACGTTCTGAAAATAATTATCTTTCTACTAGATTAGGGCTTTGAATAAAATCATGTGATTTTGAGTTTCCTCAATAAAAATATTATGTTGTAGACAGTTAGGAGTGAATAAATCAAGAAAATCATACCCATGTGTTTTGAGCAGCAGCTTTTCTTAGTGACTATGATTCAGTAGCGATACTGATAGGAGCAATCCTTCCCAGATGCTGGAAACAAACAAGAGAAAAAATATTGAAAACAGAGGAGGGGGAAAAATGCAGGTAAATGGAGTAGACTCCTTTAAAAATAGATCCAAAAGATCACATTCTTCATTTTAGACTTACCCTTGCCTGAAGTATACTAGAAGGACTGAGTTTATCAAATTCTCAAATTTTGATCTAAACTCCTCCAAACTGAATTGAAAATACTTGTGCGACTAATGATACTATCCTTTTTTTCTTTTTTTTTTTTTTCAACCGATTGTTTTTTTTTAAATTACTAGTTAGATCTGCTTCAATTACTAAGATAGCTAATTGCAACAATGTGATTCTTCATGGAGCTCTTGCACCTTATGGATCTGTGATTGACCCTCACAAGCCCAAGCCGGGTCGAATTGACCCGAGACTTCCTAAAAACACGCGACCTGCAGCTTTTATGGGGTCGGCACATACAAGCTTTAGATACAGGTCGATCTCCGAATTCATCGGAAAAACAGAATTACACATCATATTGAAAAAAAGAAAAAATCGAATGTTAATACAGATGTATTCTGAACTCATTTTCAAAATTTTCAAAACCCGAACCACACCTCATTAAAAGCGTAGAGCGGAGCGATGTGAGTCCACGCCCCGCGCCTTCAATTTTGAAGATGCAACACAGACATCCATCAAGCATGAATAGTTGTATCTCTACGACGTCACTGGTTGCGTATTATTTCCCTTGCTCTATTTCCGTATTTTGTTGGTTCCGTTTGTCTTATTTGCAGTGGTGCTTTAAGCGTTACGTGACCATCACAACCGAATATCGAACGCAACCACGTATCTTAGAAAACACGATTTTTCATGAGAACGAAAAATCTGTCTAAATTCCCTATCTTTGAGGGTAAAGTAAAATGATTAAAAATTATGTGTTATTCATCTCGAGACTGCGGCATGTACAAAAATTTTAGAGCGGTTGATGAAGAACCCACACTAAGGAGCCCTCAACTTCCACCTGACTCGCGGAAAATACGCGAATTCAATATCGATGCGAGCATAATTTTCATGAGCGTAGTAAATTCAGATAAGAGAAAAGCTATAAATCTCCTTCAATTTTGCGTGATACCACATACCTACTCCGGAGTTCGAATAGTTGCTCGTTTCCATCCCGACTTTTGAAAAGTAAGAAATAGCGCGATTTTCATCTCAATATCGCGAGAGGCACGCGATTTTACAAGCGGATTCGTAAAGGCCTACGAAATTACGCGCTTTTCATCTCGATATCGCGCAAAATGCGCTTTATTCCCCGCAATTTGGCAGGAAAAAAGAAGAAATTACGAGAGAATCACCGCGATACCGCGGCAAATACGCGATGGTTCCAGAGGTTTGGTAAAATGATTTAAAATTACGTGTTATTTGTCTCGATATCGCGGCGTGTACATAAACTTTACAACGGTCGATGAAGAACATTAAACAGAACACGAGAAGAACGTAAGAACATACGGTCTCACGCGAGATTGAAGGAGATTCGTAGCATTTCGCCAATCTAAAACTACGCTCATGAAAATTATGCTCGCATCGGTATTAAAGTCGCGTATTTTCCACGATTGAGGTGAAAATTGTTGTATCTTTAGTGTTCTTCATCAACCGCTGTAAAATTTTTACACACGCCGCGATATCGAAGCGAATGACGCGTAATATTAAATCATTTTATGAAACCTCTGGAACAATCGCGTATTTGCCGCGATATTGCGGTGATTCTTGCGTAATTTTTCCGTTTTACTAGCACACTTGGGCAATTCTACGAAAACTGTCCAATTCCAGTCATGATCGTTTTATTTGTAAAATAAGTAATAAAAAGTTTCACATTGCACCAAATGTGATGAAAAATGAGTGTTTTTAACGAAGTATAACCATAACAGTTGTGTAAATTGATGGATTAAGCTTCATTTTCAGCTTTTACTGCTTAAAATGTCACGACCGTCACTGTCATGACTGGAGGGTTGCAATGTTTACAACCTCATAACTTTTTTTTAATCTGATAAATTTTTCTGATTTTCGTACTAATTTCATCAAAAATACTTGCAGTTGAGTAAACAATGCATTTGATAACGAAAAAAATTTGTCATCCACCCAAAATATTTCGAAAATACGCTGTCATTAAATTTCACGTCACGACCGTCCCAGGTGTTTTTGCTTGTCAAAACGGTCGCTAGGAGCGGTTAAATCGTTGCGAAAGTGATTTGAAAGTGTACAATTGAAATGAAGTGAAGTGTTCCTATGATGCAAGCTTGTGCGGTAATCGCCCAAAGTCATTTTGAAAATTCTACCACGATTTGAAGGGTAAGTATACTTAACTGAACCGTTTTTTGCGTCACGACCGTCACGCCCTTTATTTTAGGAAGCGTATGATCTACTGAAAAATCTTTGTGCCCACTTTGTGGTCCTTAATACAATTGCAAGTTTACCAACTTTCGATATTGTACCTCATTGCTGTTGAGTACACCCGCCGTTTTTGTTTCAAATTCGCCACGACCGTCGCACCGCATCGGATGTTTAGGTTAGGTTAGGATGTTTAGTGTGACGATCGTGTCTTCTAGACGTACTTGAGTCGATCATTAATTTTAATATCACTACAATCGAACGATCGGGAACTCCTACGCCCACGCCCCCGCCCCCCCCCCCTCTTGGAACCACCTATGATCGTAAAATAACGCTACACCTGAATATTTTAAGGAAAAATATGTGTAGCTTTCATGAAAAATAAATTAGTATTTTATAGAGGAATGTTTGGCAACGCTTGAATGTTCATACGCCGTTCTCCTTACACGTCCTTAGCACGGGGATATGATGGACGTAAAAAAAAATACTCGCGGGGCAGTTCCCTTTCATTGTTTTGAACACGTGAGGAGCCGTCGTCTCAATAAAACAAAAGGCTCTAGCGCACTCCTGGCTAATGGTGTTCTAGAAGGAATGTCCCTTCCTCCTTTTGTTCCAAAAAGTTCGGATTTCCCGGCACTGGTAAACAAGGAAAAAGTTTCTAAATGACATCCTAATTGCAAGAGTCAGGTCAGCAGGGGGGGGGGTTGGGGGGTTGTTTGTGGTGGCTACAGACCGGGCTTATAAAAGAGCAACCCCACCCCTAAAGTTCAATCAGTGTGGATTCAGTGAGCGAAGTGGCTCGATGGGTCATCAGGTCTGTGGGTCAGTGGTTTAGTAGTGTAGTGGATAAGTGGTGTGGTGGATTAGTGGTACAGTAGTTTAATGGTGCAGTGGTTTAGTGGTGCAGTGCAATTAGCAAGTGGAATCGCAACATGAGTTAAGCTCCTTGTATGTGAGTATAGCAGACAATAGCTTTATCGTACCTTCTATCTTCATTATATTTGAACTGTATACTTTTCATTTTTGAAACTTTTTATTTTTCAAATTTTAAAATTTATTTTTTCAATATTCAATTCCCTTTTTTGAGTCTTAAAATTTTCAATCTTTGAATATTTTATTGTTGAAATTTTGATTTTTGAAATTTTAAAATTTAATTTTTCTATTTTCGATCTCTACTTCGGAATCGTAAAGTTATCGTAAATTATCCTTGAATATTTTGTTTTGAAAGTTTGAATTTCATTGGGTTCATCCTATTATTTTCCTTTCCTATTTCACGGCCTATTTCAAAATATTATGAATCAGTAGAGTACTTTTATTCTTCAAAGAAAGAAATTATCAATGAAATAAACAATGATTCATATTATTTTTCCAATTGTTCTAGACTGAAAGTAATGCTTTTCCCTCTCTTCAGATCATGGTTTTGCATTGAGAATGACTTAAAATTAAATGGCTATAGTTAATGAATGCGTAGCACTATTATATCGTTTGAAAATTTCTAAATATTCAACAGTGTTTTACTTCTTCCGAGAAAATTAGCCGACGTATCTTCCATTCATTCTCCATGAATATTTTCAAAAAGGAGAAGACAATTCTCAAAAATTTCGTGAAAAATTGCGGAGGGTATGGATTTGATCGACATGAATCGATCGAAAAATGAAAACGTGAATCGGTCGACATGAATCGATCGACACCGATTCGATCGACAAAATTCGATCAACTCACGGGTTTGTCGATCGACTCACGGATTTTTCGATCGATTCACGGGTTTGTCGATCGATTCACAGGTTTGTCGATTGATTCACGGGTTTGTCGATTGATTCACGGGTTTGTCGATTGATTCACGGCTTTTGTCGATCGACTCACGGCTTTTGTCGATCGACTCACGGCTTTTGTCGATCGATTCACAGGTTTGTCGATCGATTCACGGGTTTGTTGATCGACTCACGGCTTTTTTCGTTCGATTTACGGCTTTTGTCGATCGATTCACAGGTTTGTCGATCGATTCACGGGTTTGTCGATCGATTCACGGGTTTGCCGATCGATTCGCGGTTGTCGATTGATTCACGGTTGTCGATCGATTCACGTTTTCATTTTTCGATCCATTCATGCCGATCGAATCGATACGGGTGTTTTTAAATTAACTGTCGATCGAATCGGTGTCGATCGATTCACGTTTTCATTTGTCGATCGAATCCGTACCCTCCAAAAATTGCTGATTGGTTTTTGCAAAAGAAAAATTAGACATGAAAAACGATTTGAAACGTCACAATGGGCCATCTATATACTACTCCCTGCTAAATTTTTAATAAATATAAAATTGCGCATGAGCTGCACTGTTAATTGGACGTATTTCTGCCAAATGGAGTTATGTGCATTAAGACATGAGCCCTGAGACTCATAAGAATATATGCATACTAGGGCTCACAATACACATAGCTCCGTGTTGCAGCAGCACGGCCGATTTACATTAGCTGTTCCTTCACTAGCTTTGCTTTCTTGATTTTTTTTTTTTTCAGATCGGCAAGAGACTAAGTCTGTGAAAGCGCTTCTTGCACCGTGTGCAAAGGTTTCAACTTATTTTATTGCATCGGATTTTTTCCTCCTCTTCAAACGCTTCATACTAACTTTCTAATTGACAAGAGACAGGGTCAGAGTGGAAGCTACTTTCAGCGTATTAATTGTAAGTAAAATTGCTTTGCAGTATTTTTATTTTTCTCTCAAATATCAAGCTAATTTTCAACTCCATGTTAATTATATTAGTATTTCTTTTTGTTCTTTTTCAGAGCGACAAGAAACACAGTGAAAACAGTTTCACATTGTTTTATATTGGTTTTTTGTTTTGAATACCTCATATAGATTTTGCTCGTCGAGCAGGACGAGCACTTTGAAAACTGTTCAACTTCATTTCATTTTACTTTTTATTTTACTCTATTTACCTGAACTAATTTATTTTTGTTCATTTTTTTTTCAGATCGGCAAAAAACGAGCATAATGAAAGCTGCTTCACATCATTTTTTTACTATAGTACACCATTTCCTACCATCGAGGAAAATCTGTGATTTAAAGGTACCAATATAGTTGAATCACGGTGATGTGCATTAATTTGAAGGATGAAGAAACTCGCCTTATTGCTACATAGCAAGAAACCATGAAGAAACCATGATACCATGAACCATGATAGAAGTACCATGAAACTGAGACTGCAAGGTACATACCTTGCAGTCTCAGTTTCATGGTACTTCTTTGGACGGACGGCGGACGTAAAAATTTGGTAGTTGGTTGGACCTTTTTGAATGTTCAATTATTTGTAGTGTTGCAAAAATTAACAGAAATGTTGGTGTAATTCACCAGAAAGTACCCATGCAGTTTTAATTAATCTACAACTGAAGAATACACTGAATAATTGCTCATGAAATCAATAGCTGAAGAAAAAATTACGAAAATGGAGAACAATATTGCACTATTTTCCGAATGATATTAATGAGTTCCAGATTTTTTACTACTAGATGATTACAGTACTTTTAGAAAGTATCAATTTTGACGGGGCCATTCAGAGTAAACAAAACAATTTTTTGGCTTAAGTTTTTATTTTCAAGTTAGGTTAAGCGTTGACTAATCGTTCTTTTTTTTATTCTTATTTTGTTTCAGGTCTACCAAAAAGACTTTTGTATGAATTCTAAATGCCAACCGCTGGAATCCTTCTTTAGTGATTTGAGGAGCCAAAATACTGATAACCACGGTGTGCATCAATGCGGGTGATGATGTCACTCATCGCGCTTTCTAAAAAGGCTATGTGCCCCTTCATAATGTCATGCTGAATAAAAACGCCGTATGAACCTTCAGGCGTTGCCAAATTTTCTGTGACAAAACACGAATTTCTCGGTAACTTTATGAATATTTTTCTTTGATCTTACAGATAATTTTGTTCGCAATTTCACCGAAAATTCCTGAAAAGTTCGAGGAAATATATTCATATCTTTCCTCAGAAATGTACGTTTTATCTGTGGAAATTTGACGACTCTTGAATGTTCATACGGTGTTATTCCTTAGCACGATAGCATAGGGGATGTGAAAATTTTGTGATTGAACAGATTTTCTTTAATTGTAAATTATCATTAATGGTATAGGATTAATAGAGATTTTGGCATGACTATATAAAAATACATTAAAATTCCCGATTGATTGCTCATGAAATCAATAGCGAAAAAAAAGAAAACATGACAAAAATATAGAAAAATTGCATTCAACTTCACATACCTAATTAATTAATATCATATTAGAGAATATTGGAATTTATCGAATTCAATGAGTAAATTTGGCATCAACAATGAAATTTTCCCACTACAGTTTCCATTTTCAAATTAGGTTAAGCTCCAACTAATCATTTCTTTTTTTTTTATTCTTAGTTTGTTTCAGGTCTGCAGAAACGAAGAAAATGTTCCGCACTGAGGACGGAAGTAGTGCCCTCCAGAATGTGTATTTGTTGTGTAAAATTCAAAAAGTATAAACTATCAAACGTTAAATTTAATAGTTGAATTATTCAATCCATTTTTAATTGATTACAATTAAGTATAAAATCTATAAACATAATTATTTTAAAACTATTGTGCAGCACTTGACTTGAATGCCATCTGCAGTTTTTTAAAGATATTTACATTTCCTTCCAGTTCTGCGTATAGTTCTCATGTATTACTATCAAACAATATTGCATTCAATTGAAAGTAAGTAAACTGCATAACGGAAAAAGGAATGATCTTTCCAGTTCACTGTAAAAAACACATATGTTCCACAAATTTTACACATAACTAGGCGATTTTTAAAAGAACCTAAAAAGTTAGTTTTTTTTGCGTTATGCAGTTGAGTTACTGCAACTGAATGCAAAATTGTAGTTGAAGCTACATGGTGTAGTCCAAAGACAATAATTCAAATTAAAATTTGGGAAAATAAGACGTACATTTCATTAATTGGACGTATTCCTATCAAACGGGACTCTGTGCTTATGCTATGTGCTTATGTGCATATGCTTATGGGTCTCAGGGCTCATGTCTTAATGCACATGGTTCCGTTTGACAGAAATACGTCCAATTTTGACTTATGCTAAAAGGAACTATGTTTCATGCTTCGAACTTCACGAATTTCATGCGAATCCCATGTACATGATTCCTTTTAGGATAAATACGTCTCTAATGAATGATAATGGAACAGTTTCTTAATTATACTGAGGGCCTAATAATTAGAAGTCTAGTAGCCAGTCTTATCCCCTGTTACAAATCATACTAATAATTCTTGATGTTTTTGTTTGTTCCAGAAGCTGCTGCTGAAGAAACGGGCTCGGGGGGAGGAGGGTGACTCGCTAAGGGAGGAGGTTCCCGGGGAAAGGGGGGTCCGTGGGGTTGGGAAGGATCGCGGTGTAAGGTTTCCCAGGGGGAGGCTCCCGGGGAAAGGGGGNTTTCTTTTCTTTCTTTTCTTTTTTGTATTCTCTGTTTCAGGTGCTGCTGCTGGACGCCATCGTACCGGGATCGTCGAATTTTTTTTTTTTTTTTTCCTTTTCTTTTCTTTCTTTTCTTTTTTGTATTCTCTGTTTCAGGTGCTGCTGCTGGACGCCATCGTACCGGGATCGTCGAATTTTTTTTTTTTTTTTTCCTTTTCTTTTCTTTCTTTTCTTTTTTGTATTCTCTGTTTCAGGTGCTGCTGCTGGACGCCATCGTACCGGGATCGTCGAATTTTTTTTTTTTTTTTCCTTTTCTTTTCTTTCTTTTCTTTTTTGTATTCTCTGTTTCAGGTGCTGCTGCTGGACGCCATCGTACCGGGATCGTCGAATTTTTTTTTTTTTTTTCCTTTTCTTTTCTTTCTTTTCTTTTTTGTATTCTCTGTTTCAGGTGCTGCTGCTGGACGCCATCGTACCGGGATCGTCGAATTTTTTTTTTTTTTTTCCTTTTCTTTTCTTTCTTTTCTTTTTTGTATTCTCTGTTTCAGGTGCTGCTGCTGGACGCCATCGTACCGGGATCGTCGAATTTTTTTTTTTTTTTTCCTTTTCTTTTCTTTCTTTTCTTTTTTGTATTCTCTGTTTCAGGTGCTGCTGCTGGACGCCATCGTACCGGGATCGTCGAATTTTTTTTTTTTTCTTTTTTTTTTTTCTTTCTTTCCTTTCTTTTCTTTTTTGTATTCTCTGTTTCAGGTGCTGCTGCTGGACGCTGGTTCCCGCAACCGAAGGTAAGATACCGTTCTAATTATTCACGTTAATCAATTGTGGAGGGCACTACTCCCGTCTCCTGCGGGCACACCTTTTTTTTGGCAGTGTCAAAAACGACATGCAGCAGTGGATGGAGCTACAGCAGCGTTGGTAAGTGTTTTATTTTGTTTTCTCTCTTCCATCCCTCTCCTCTTCCCTTCCTCTCCCTCCCTCTCCTCTCTTCCCCTTCTCTCCCCTCTTCCCTCCCCCGTGGATTAGGGCTCTTGGCGATACCACGTTAAAAAAAACGCGCCAAAAGCTCTACCTCCGGGAGCAGTACCTGATCGGGCTCTCCTAAGGTGGTGTGGAAACGAGCTTGTCTGAAGGTATTTCCCTATTTTTCTTCCGAATTGTGGATTATATTTACTAGCGACAATGAAAATAGTCAGCTTAGCACACGTGGACAATGATTTTGAATTTCACCCAATAAAAGTTATTTGTACTTAGACAACCCATTCAATGTTAACCAGTAAACATGCCAGTCCTATCCTGGTACAAATGTGCTTGAATTACTATCGATTGTTTTGTCGCAAATCAAAAACAAAACGATCACTAACAATCAAGCAAGTTAACTTGTATTTGATTTGTGACAAAACAATCACTGAATTACCCAGCAAGACAACTTGTCCATGTCTATGCACCTTCATGGGAGGATGGAACAGCAGAGCAGTGCTTACGAGAATGGAGAGGCCATAACTAGTCAGTTTTGTGACGTCAAGCTAGTAGATATCTACCGAAAACAACAAGCATCTCGAGGTCAGAGTGGCCCTCAATCAGCGGAAGTTGCATGAGCGCATGTTTGAATCTGAGTGGAGTACTGATTTTCGGTAAGTATTACGCTTTCATTTCCTCAATTTTTAGACAATATCACATATGGGTTAGTTAGTTTTCTGAAGTGAAATTTCATCCTCTCTCCAAAAGGTTCTTATGAATTTTTGCATCAGATCAACCCCCGAGAAGATATCGGCACAAAAGAAACACGCGTCAGGCGTTTTCCCATGGGAGCACGTGTTAAACCACCGCTGAGTTTCATCTACTGACACAAGGTCACAGGAACGCAGTTACAGCCTCTCGATTCTCGTTAGGAACGAGCAAAGTTAACCAGCTCACATTCGCTGAATTCCTTGACTAGATACAATATGCTGTTAATAGCTGTAATCCAAGATCTTTGTCTGGATTAGCTGAACTAAAAAATGGGAAACCCAGAAACTAAATTGGTCTTTGAGCATGTAAAATGACATGGATCCAAATTTTTGAGTTTCTGATGCAATAAGCCATCACGAAGGGTATGTAGTTAATAAGACGCGTGGAACAGCTTACTGCATCAGGAAATAAAAATGTTTCCGGCAACCTTGTGCATGAAAACTAAATGTCTTCAGCGGACAGGATTGGTAAACTTCATGATGATCAGATGATAAAAGTTCTCGGGAGCCTCCATGAATATAGAAGTGAGTGAACCTTCGTGCAAAGCATATGAGGAAAGGTAAGCAGTTAGACCTTAGTGGATCTATCCCAACCATCCTGTGCTGACAGTTACTGAATTATTACTGAATATACAACAACTTTGCCTTAAAATATAGATACCAGATGTATAAAGGAAACTTTCCATGACATGTAATTAATAAGTTTCATTGGCAGGCATCAGTAAGTAGCTCAGTGACTCGTTGAGCACACAGTGTAAAATATTTTCAAACAAATAAATCCTGTCAAAATCATCATACATATAGGAAAAAGATCATAGTAATACTTAGATTATTAAAAAAGCTTTAAGATGGTAATACATTTTTCAAAAATACGAATTTTACAATTAGAAAGTAAGTGTAGGAGCAGGTAGGAGGTTAGGCAGTTACCTGACACATCAAGATTGGATCAATCTAATGAGATATTGAAGAGTATTCTCAGAAACGGAGCAAATTACACTAAGTGTAGTATGTACTTTAATAATAAGTTATCTAGGTATTCACTTTAAAGGAAATGTTTTAGGGATAATGAGTAATTACAGAAACCAGAGAAACATTGTCACTTATCAGTCCGAGAGCAACCAACGACAAGCAACGATCAACATCGCCCCACGACAACGTTTCATGCTTCCCCTCCTCCTCCACACAACATATTGTTGTTTACGTAATTTCTTATCAGTGTTATCAGTTCATAAGTATTACGTTTCATGACACTGTTATTTTATCAAGTTGTCTATCAAATCGGTGAATGAAAATTTAAGTTTCGTTATTATGTTGCAAGCGCCATTAACATCATTCTCAAAATCGGGGACGTAAAGACACTTTTTTCTCCTCATATCAGCCAAGTAAATCTGTGAGTCCCAAAGTTGCTCATTCATTGCCATTACACTCAAGTTGAGTTTAGTTTTCTAGCTATTTTTATGTGATTTCTGCTACGATATATTTCTTCTAAAATTCAACAGTACTCAAGTTTTGGCAGCATGAAGTTGCACTCCAAGATGTTTTCTCAGTTTGTGCGGCAACTGACAACGAATTCTTGCAATCATCAATCTGTTCCTCTGACCAAAGTCCGGTATCCCCATCTCAAAAGAGGGCAATATGCAGAAATTAGTGAGAAGCACATTCAAATGTTTGAACGAATAGTTAGTAAGAATCAAATACTAACAGATCCTTCGGATGTCGAACCCTACAATATTGACTGGTTGAAAATGGTCTGTGGTGAGTATCTGCAAGCTTAGCCTGTCTTTTTCTTACTCTTTGGAACTTGCTGAGTTTGTCAGAGAGGCACTTTACTTTACCACTCCTTTTATTCTAATTCTATATTTTCTGTTTGCTGGAAACACTGCATGTAAAATTCTGCTGAGGTTGGCTTCCTGGGCAAGTAGGTAACTCAAATAAATTTGTATTTTTATCAAATGGATTTTTTTTCAATGGAAAATTCCCCTTTTATTTTGCCATTTTGTAGCTATCAATTGTGCTTAAAATTTTTGAAAGGATGCATTTTAAATTTTTTTGTGTATGAATTGCTGTGTTTCTTAGTTGCCAACACGAGTTAGCCTTCCAATTCTCTTCACGGCTTTTCCAGTTTTTAGAGCCCTTCCACTTTTGCAGTAGTCACATGGTTGAGAAGCTTCTGCATTCCTGGTTCATGCCAACTCCTGAACTTTTTTTGAACTCTTCATAAGTGTCTAAAGTCACTAAATCTACCTCTATTTTAAAGTTTAAGAGATGGTCTTTTTTGCCTATCATACTTAGGTATCTACATACATACATAAAGTCGCGATTATAGCGCCGCCTCGCGCTCTGCGACGCCCAATCGCCATTGCCCCCTATCCTCCCAGAGATCATCAGGCAATTGGCACCTTCTGATCTCCTCCTCCACCCCTTGTCGCCAACCTTTCACAGGACGTCCACGCCGTCGCCTTCCGGGAGGAACCCAATCGAAGACCTGCTTGGGCAACCGATCATCTGCCATCCTTCGCACATGTCCATACCAGACCAACTGCTTGGACCTGATATCGTGCACGATGTCCTTTTCCACACCCATTATCTCGCGTACCCTTTCATTGCGGATACGCTCTCTTCTCGATATCCCAGCAGACCTTCGCCAAAAGTCCATCTCGGTTGCCCTAAGCATGTCTTCAGTTCTTTTCTTAAGTTGCCAGACCTCACTCCCGTAAGTTACGATACTCTTCACGATGACGTTGTAAATTTTCCTTTTGGTCTCCTTGGAGATACTCTGGTCCCAGAGAACCCCATTTAGCATCGCGATAGCTTTCCTGCCTTGCACATTCCGATCTTTAATGGCCCGATCCAAATTTCCGTCCTTAGTTAACCGAACTCCGAGATATTTATACTCTTCACAGTCCAGGATCTTCCGGCCATCCTCCAGTTCAATGCTTTGCTGATCACCACCGATAACCAACTTCTCCGTCTTAACCACATTTACTTCCATTCCCCACTTTCGGTATACTTCCACTAGCTTCCGCGTCATGTAATTCGCATCTTCTTCGTCCTGAGCTATTACCACCTGATCATCAGCAAAGCACAGAGTATAAAGGGTGCCATCTTCACGTAGCGGGACGCCCATTCCCGAAAAGCATCTTTTCCATTCCTTTAAAACTTCTTCCAGGTACACTTTAAATAAGGTTGGCGACAAACAACACCCTTGTTTCAGTCCTTTAGTAATTAAAATACTTAGGTATACTTAGGTTTAGGATACTTAGGTATCTTAAAGGTTTAAACTTCGAGAACGCTTTATTTTAATGCAGGTAAAACTCTCGTTTGAAATAATTAATGCTTCTGTCAAAGGCAGTCCTTAATATAATTTTCCTGTTTTTGTTGTCCAGGTTACAGTAGTGTTGTTTTGAAACCCCGAAATACTGAGGAAGTGTCAGAAATTTTGAAGTTTTGCAACGATGAAAACATTGCTGTGTGCCCTCAAGGTGGTAGAACTGGTGTAGTAGGAGGAAGTGTACCTGTTTTTGATGAAGTAATAGTATCAACACAGCTAATGAATAAAATAATATCCATAGACCCCATCACTGGTAAGAAGTTGACTTAATTTCTTAGCAATATTTATGTGCAAGTTTTTATTTTAGTAAATATTAGGTTGCTCTAAGTGTTCTCTTGTCCTGCAAACTTAGATATGCATCCCTGCAGTTTCACCATCAATGTCTCTTCTCTCCTAAGAGAGCAATGAATAGAAATACTGTTGTTATCGTCTCCCACTAAGAACTTTTAAACCAAGCTGTTTGCTCTATTTCACAGGAGTGTTGATTTGCCAAGCTGGATGTGTGCTAGAAAACCTAGATTCTGCTTTGAATGAGAAAGGCTTAACAATGCCTCTCGATTTGGGTGCCAAAGGAAGTTGTCATATAGGAGGAAATGTCTCAACCAATGCTGGTGGCATTCGTTATTTACGCTATGGAAGTTTGCATGGCAATGTTCTCGGAATTGAGGCTGTAGGTACCCACCATTGACTTAGCCTTAGAAATGCTCAAGAAGGAAAAAGAGCTTTTTCATGAATTTTAATTTACTAATATCTTGACATCAATGTATTCCTTAGGCATCTGTTGTCATTGGTTCAGCCGAATATCTATGGGCAACTTCAAAATCTTTTTTTGCTCCAAATTTACAATATCAAATGTAGATTTGATTACTTTTCACAATTGATTGCACAATTGATAACAAAGGTTCAAATCTCAACTATTAGTGGCCACATTTTTTATAAAAACCGTCTGGTTGTGAAGCTGGTAATATTCATTATGAAATTCAGTCAACAAATCTGCAACATTTCTTACGGACTCATGGAAAAAAAACAGAGAAATGCTCACTGTAACTTTTTACTTTTATGATTAATTTGCTGATATTACTTATTTTTAAAATATTTAAAATTTTAAATGTTTGTGACAATCATTTTTTTTAAAAAGTAATCTAGTACTTAATATGTACTCTTTTGTTTTTTACTCTCAGGTCAAGGCAGATGGAAAAATTCTTGACTGTCTTGGGACCATGAAGAAAGACAACACAGGGTATCATTTGAAAAATTTATTCATAGGATCAGAAGGAACTTTAGGTCTTGTGACAAAAGTAGCCATCAAATGTCCACCAAAACCAAAGGCTGTGAATGTAGCTTTCATTGGTAAGAGGATCCAAAATTTTTACATAAAATATAATAATAATAATAATAATTTTTACTTTATAATTTACATATAATAATTTTTACATCAAAGTTAACCATAGAGTGCATAGAGTCGTAATGTAATTGGGAGAGCTGGCGCCACTTTTAAGCATTTTCCATGTCCCGAATCCCGAGACTCCTGTGTGACGCCGAGTCACTTTTTCAATACATAATCGATTGTTTGCGATACACGGGTACCCGGCCATCCGATGACAACAACAACAACAACAACAACAAAGGAGATAGGAATTACCACGTATTCCACACCGCCATTTTGGATCGAAAATGTATCGAAAAAGCGACCTGAACTCGGCGCACACCGGGCTCGGAATTCGTCGAGCAGAACATGGCGCCAGCTCTCCCATTTACATTACGACTCTATGTACTCTTTGTTTCTTCTCTGTGAAGTAGCAATGCAAGTACTTCATTTTATCAAAGAGATTGATTATTAAGTGTGCTTTTGAGGATTTAAGCTCCCTGTACTTAAAGATAAACTCTGTTTATTTACATAATTCATGTTACAGTTTAATTATCATCTATATTTCACTGATAATGTCGAAAATTCGTCAGCAAATCTGCTGTTAAAGTCCTATCAAAGAATCAGTTTGCTGTGACATGAAACCAAGAGCAGTGCTTACCAAAATTGATCTATCTTAGATTGTTCATAAATTATGACAAGCTACAAATCAGATTTTTGGAATCCTTGTTATGCAAGTCTGATCCTTCTTTCGTAAAATAATCAAACTGGCCTTGACCTCCCCCTCCTACAAATAGAAAATTTGTCAGTTAAGTGCATGCTATGTGACCAATTTGTTACTGAAACCGGTAGCTTGAGAGAAAATGCACAAAGACAAAAAGAGAAAGAAAAGATGCCAAGAATAAGATGCTTCAAATATATTTTACTGCTTTTACATGAAAAGCAAATAAGAAACTAAAAAAATCTAAGTGAAGCACATAAAAAATCAATATTAACTTTAGACTCTTCAAGTATCAGTGAGGAAATTCATCATTAAAAATGGCAAGGGGTCCCATTTTTGTTGTTGTTTTAATTACTGTAATAATCTCTTGAATTTTTGACCAAATATGTACGGTCAGTCTAATGTCAATTGCCTGAAAACAAGCTGCTCTTTTTAATGCTGCCATAGTCAGCTTGCCACCCAAAGAAAATTTTCAAATGCTGCAAGAAGATTTATGGTTTCCCTTGTGGCACAAAAAATTAAATATTGAGTAACAGTTTAGAGTATTTACTGTCTTCATTGTCAAAGCTCTATCACTTTCACAAGCCAGTTATATAACTGCCTAGTAATTATTTGTTCATTGTTACACCCTCTAAGTATTGCGATTACAGGCCCAGGTGTTCATGATTACTAAACCATTGCTTTATATTTTAGCAAAAGTGATACTACAACAGTGGATTGAGGGAATAAGGCAGGAAATGAGAAGATGCGATCTGCCGGAGGAGCTCTGGCAGGATTGCTATCAGTGGCGGTTGGGTGTCGCAGAGCGCACGGAAGCGCTAAAAGAGCGACTTGTTAGTTAGATACTGCAACAGTGCAATTTCTTCTCAACTTTAAGGGACAGTTTTATCTAATTACTTATGCACGGTTTCTAATTCAGCTACTGAATTGTTACATTAAAGTAATTAATAGTCAAGCAACAGTTTTTAAACTGTTACTGAACTTTTAATATTCTATTAGATATGCGATTTGCAGGCAATTAGTCAAATCAAGCATTTTTTCAAATGTCTCAGCAGATAGTGAAATTTCGACGGTCCACGAAATTTTGTAAATTTACGAAGAGCTCACGAATTTTCAATATTATGGGGAAAATAACTCATCAAAGCTACGAACTCTCCTTGTTGTGATCTCTTCAAATGCTTCACACATATTTGAATGTTAAAATTTTAAAAATTATGTATTTTTTGACAAAATTTCAAGATTAAAGTTCATTCAGGAGCTAAAATTTGTTTAAAATACTATTGTATAATGCAATTTTTTACAAAGAATTCTTTTGTACAGGAAGAATGGATTATTTTGTCTAAAATGAGGAAATGAATCAGAGTTTCAATCTATGTAAGAATAGTTTAAGTACTGTTTGTTGAGGTATTTGAAAAAATGCCTGATTTTACCTGCGACATGTACCTACAAATTAATTTCTCTTATTGGGGATTTTAACATGAAACTGATTTTTTTGCAGGATTAGAAAGTTTCGAAAACATCCTCTCTGTTTTCCAATTGGCAAAAAGTGAATTGGCTGAGGTCCTCAGTGCATTTGAGATGATGGATGCTCCATCAATGCATTCGGTTGTCGACGTTTATCATGTAAAGTCGCCTGTGGAGAAGTGTCCGTTCTACGCTCTCATTGAAACCTCTGGTAGCAATGCATCGCATGATGAGGAAAAGCTTACCTCATTTCTTGAGAAAGGAATGGCTGAAGGCTTGATCATTGATGGGACCGTAACTGGGGAACCCTCTCGGATGCTGGTATGTGAAAGTGGACTTTTTTCCTCTTTGAAGGATTCAAGGCTTTTACGTTAATTTATTTGCAATACTGCCGTGCCGTGCCCTCAGGCGTTGCCAAAATTCCTTAGATAAAATACAAATTCATAGGGAAATTTGTAAAGATTTTTCCTCCAATTTTTCAGAGAATTTCGTTTGTAGTCAGCTCTAAACTATCTGAAAATCTCAAAAGAAAATATTCACAACTCTTGTCAAATTCATACATTTTATTGGAGGAAATTTGGCAACTCTCGGATGTTTGTACGGCGTTTTTCCTTAGCATGGCAGAATCGTACCATGATTATCCAGTGCTTTAGTCATTCAGCATTTGTGAGCTTGTGCACTTTTTTATGGTGTTTGCAGCAAATGAAAGTAGTTTTATAAGCCAAACACAATTTGCAGAAAAACAAAATGAAGAGTGAAAACTAATTTTTAGTTTCCCCCGAAAATTTTCTGCAGATGATAGAAAATAGTTTATTTTGCATTTTTACATGAAAGTTCAATGTTCTTTCAGAATTTGTGGCAACTTCGGGAAGGAATACCAGAAGCAATTTTGCATAGTAAAGAAAATTGTTATGTGTACAAATATGATATATCCTTGCCTCCTCAACAATTTTACCAGATTGTTGATGAATGTAAGAAGCGCCTTGAAGGAAAAAACTACAGTCTTTGTTGTGGCTATGGGCATGTTGGTAAGTTTGTTTTTAATAATTTTGAAATCCTTGAACAATTTTTGTGGACAGATGGAGACACTAGAAAATTTTCTAAGCTATCGTTTCCAATTGTTTTAACTTTTTGTCTGCTTTACTTCGCCTTTAATTGATTGGGAAGCTTAATTAAAGCACATCTGCCCATTTCCACCAGCGGGCAACTCGCAGTCTACCGATGAAGATAGGCAGGAGTCTATCGAAACATACGGCCTACATTTTGCAGCAAGGAACTACAAGTTTAGACTCATCCGCAAAAACACTTATATGCACCTGAGAAGTAATGGCACGCATGTTGTTTCTAAACTGAACCAAAAATTGTATGTAGTTCCTAATTGCAAAATGTGGTTCTTGTGTCACTTCAAATTATAGTTTTCGCAAATTCTGACTTCATATTTAAGATTTATTATGCTGCACTCTTGACTTTTATAAGTAAGAAGTTGATCTATTGGAGGCTTCTTGTCACCGTCCCTAAGCCTCTATTCCTCAGCAGGCCGATTGTTGAAATTGATACGCAAAGCAATAGACAAAGAAGACATAAGGAGTATAAGGCGATCCCATCGGTTGAAATGGGTGGCTCCTATAGAATAAGAGAGAAAATAATGGACTAACCATCAGGTCTCTTATGGGTTGCCCTTAGTTAGTCTTCCACCCGCTTCTACCAATAGGATCCCTCTATATCTATTTTGCTCTTTTGTCTCCTTTGTCTATTGCTTTGTCTATCAATTTCAATAATCACCCTGCAGATGAAAATGTTTAACTATGTGATGGTGATTCATCATTCAGTAGTCTGCCAAAAAAGAACTGTTTCCGCGAAAAAGTTTTGAAACCAGTTTGATTCTGAAAGAGGACTTATTGTGTTGGGTGGTTAGAAAGGCACCTTATCATATGTTTCCTTGCAGTGCATTATTTTCAACTTCTGATTATCTCTTTGTTATAGGAGACTGCAATCTACACTTGAATGTGTCGATCCCAGAATACAGCCCTGAAATAACAAACATTCTGGAACCCTTTGTCTTTGAATGGACAGCCCACTATGGTGGAAGTATCAGTGCAGAGCATGGCATTGGTTTCAAAAAAACTCAGTATTTACATCTTTCGAAAACGGCTGAATCTATTGAAGTTATGAGACAACTGAAACAGGTTTTTGATCCAAAAGGTATTTTGAACCCTTACAAAGTGCTTCCTGATGTTTAATAAATAATGGAACAAAATGTTCATTGAGTTTATTTCAACATTTTATTAAATTTTAGAAAAATTTCCCCAGAATTTTTTTAAGAAGGGGGAAAAATAAAATAAGAAAACTTGCAAAACATATAATGAAGTTTGAATGTAAAAAATATGAGTGCAAAAATGTGCCTTAAAAGTTTCTATTACTTTTACCGTTTTACAATTGCACTTATTATCAGTCAATCAAAAATCTCATACTTTTTAGGATAAACCTGTAAAAAATGATGGAAGTTCATTCTCAAGTTGTATTCCTCAAGCATACATTTTTTTATTATTTTTACCAGAAAATTTTGTTTCTAAGTTTTTTAGGTACTTGATATTAAACTTGTCGCTTTTCCAATGCTCAAGACCTGCTTCTATAATCATACTGTTTTACCTTTTGAAAAAAGTAATAGTGAATTTGAAAGTGCTTTTATTTTCAACAAATGTCACTTTCCTATGAGCACTCTCCAGATTTCACTGTAATTTGGCAGAGTTGTCAAATATTAATTTGCATTGTAATGCATTAGTAATGAGATAAAGCATACCTAATTTTCAACATTTCCAACAAATAAAGGAAGGAAGGAAGTCACTACAGTTTTATCTTCAAAAGACTGAAATTTGAAAGTAGGTACAAAATTTTAAGGTAGGGACTCTCTTTTCCTGTGCACTTGAGTTCATGTATCAAAATGATCATGACCAAAATTATTTAATCTTATACCTAATATCGATCCTGTTTGTATACGTAACCAGAAAGGAAGCTACAAGTACATGATATAATTTGCAGCTTACAAATGTAGCTTGGAGGTAAAGATTGTCTTTCTGTAATTTGTCCGTTTAATTTTATTAATATTTATTTTTTTAATACTGCGGGGACATCTAATTGAAGAGTGTAAATAAATTTATAATTATTTTTATTTTTAATTCCTAGAAACTTCGCATGTGATATGTTATAACTAAAAAATTACTCAACATTACGCATTAAAATTGTTTAGAGATTTCAAAACATACTTCATATTTTAAGGCTTTATATTTAATTTTAAGTGCGAATGCTGAAACTTTTACTCTATTTCACTTAAAAAGAGATATGAGTGTAAACGGTCAACAATCATACAATTTTGAGTAGTGAGATCGAGATCAAATTTAAAGTACGTGAGATTAAATGCTTGTAATGAGATCCATATTGAATCATGCCACTGCTTCTCATCAGTTGAGCTCTCGCTCAACCATATTTTCTCAAGTATGATAGTTGGGCCTGTTATACTGCCGAAGTTTTTTCGATTATTGCAAAGTGGCAGTATAACTCATCTGAATATCATTATGTATTACGCAATTCAAAACCTCAAAAAATTGTGAAGACAGATGATAGGCTTGAGAATCAATTATATTGTTTTCAATTCAAATGTAATCCTCTTTGGAGTAAGAATAAACCTGTTGTTTTTAAAATGTACCTGGCAAACCATTACTATGTAAGTTAAAGTTAATTACTAAGCATCATTTTTCCTACTTAAAATCTTTATAAAAATTCAAAACTCACCATTTTCCTTATTTTGAGCCCTGAATTATTTTTAATAAGTTTTTTTTGTTCTTTGTTTTTGAACTGTTCAAATATTACTTTTTCAGTCAATTGCTTCTTTTTTAAAATTATAGAAAATGATTTAAAAGACCATTTTGATAAGAAAAAAAGGAACGGAAATTACCTTGCGTTTATTGCATGTATGTTACATCAATAACAACAAGTTAAAGGAAGTTTCTTAATTAATTCTAAGTTTCATTTTTTCTGAAAAATTTGTGAGTTAAAATGCCTAAGCTCACTGTTTGTAAAGCTTTTGATTCCAATTGGCTGTTTAAGATTTAAAATTTAAGTTTTAACCATGAATCTATGTTTCCTAACTTGTGATATCTTGAGACTGTTTACTTTTTGTAGTGTTCTTGAAGTCGATTGACTGCTGGCATTGACTTATGAATAAATCAACTTGTTCATTGAGATCTGACAGTTTTCATTCATGTGTCTTTAGTTGACTGATACTTATTTCACGGTACTGATCATTGTGCATCTTAGGTTCAATTTTTTACTTTTTAATGGTTTTTTAGTGATATTTTCTGTTTTAAAAATCTAATTCATGGTTCTTAGCAGTGAAGTTATTAACCTTTCAAGTTATGATTCGCTCCATTCTAATGAAACTTGTAGTCTGTCTCTTCATACCTGCAGCAAATCTTCAAGGTAACTCAATCACTCATACGTCCAGTAAAATAAAACAAAAAGTTCGTTGTTTATCATGAGCTTTTAAGTTTGTTACTGTAGTACCAATTTTACTTCCATCATAATTTACATCATTTTGAAAGGTACAAAGCACGGCAGTTTCATTCTGCAAAAAAAAGTCCTGATCACAAAATAATTCCTAGCTCTGCATTGCTTGAGCGTATTTTTATTCATGGGCACAGCTATTAAGGGGCCAGGTAAGGCCTGACTCCCCCATCCCCTTAGAATTTGAAATAGTATCTTCCCCCCCCCCCAAAAAAAAAAAAAAAAAAAAAAAATTGAACTTCATATATAGGCAACCCTAAATTTCTTTGCTACGCACTGCAAAGTAAGGAGCAAAGAAGAAAACAATTTAATGTGACAAACTTACTATTCAAAAATTTTAATTCGAGAGGCCACAAGGTTGCCAGGTCGTGCCATTAAATTGAGATATTCTACATGGATTTAAACGGGGAATAGTGCTGATTTTTCATCTCGATCTGGTAACAATTAGAGGCCCTGCTCCTGGGACCTGCCCGCAGACCAAATTCTGATCCAGTTCACAGTGTTCTGTCTTTGTGAGAGATGATTGCTGATTCCAGAGACTTCTGAGATCGACCAAGAGAGTGAAATTGGCGACGAACTGCGGTGCTTTGGCTTTCTGAGTGTGTTGCTCTCCCCCGAAACCGCGATGGGTCGTCTCATTCGCAGTGGGCTAGCTTGGGACGAGAGCATAGATCATCTATCAAGTGAGCATCTTTCTTAGTCTTCTATCATGGGGTCAGGCAAAAGGGCTCCTAGCCCAAGTAGCATTTTTCAACGAACCGTATCGCGATGTTTTGAAATTAAGTTGCGATTTTTTCACGAGTTTTTGGCGAGAAAGTCGTTAGGATCAACAACATATGGACGTATTTCTATCAAACGGAACTATGTGCATTAAGACATGAGCCTTGAGATCCATAAGAATACATGCATAGTAGGGCTCACGTCATAAAACACATAGTTCTGTTTGATAGAAATACGTCCATATTAGCGATTATCCTCACTCTTGTCGAAATTTTATCTCCATACGACGAAATTTTATTTCAATTTCAACAATGTTTTGTTTGATAATATTGCGATAAATTGCCGTCGATAAAATTGCGTTTTTTTTGCAAATTTACCTATGCGATGAGATAGCGATTTGTTATCCGATAATATTGTAATAAACCGATGTTGATAAAATCGCCGTACACTCTCCGATCAAATCGCAACTTATTTCGATCGCTGCTACTTGGGAGAGTGGAAAAACATGAAATGAGGGAATCGAGGGGCCTGGAGGACAAACCGTACCTATAAGTGCAGTTTTTGTAAAAAATTGAAATATTATAATGATTTCAAGTAAAATTCATCTTAATGCATAATCTGTGAAAAATTCGCTCCCAAATTCCAATTTTTAAGCATCAATAAGTCTCTCTCCGCCATAAGGATCCATGTAATTTTGAAACTTCAAACTCTTAGGTACCTATTTCTCGAAATGGCAAAAACTACACCTAAGCGCCTTTTCCACCAAGCCCCTCCATTATTGCCGGCGAACCCTGGTAAAAATTGACAGTAGAATCTGTGTTCCAAAATACCATAGACCTACAGCCGGCTGTAAGATTTCCAATAGCTTCCACAGCCGGCAACACAATTTCTTATAGCCTTTTATAGCCGATGGCGATTAGGCAACACTGCAACAGCCTGGCGATAAAGTGTATGCTATAAACGTTACTAATTACGGATGCTAGGACTTAGTGAGTTTTTGGACCACTGCTCTCTTTTTGGGCCGTGGTATCTTGATTTATTTTGCGAGGCAAGCTCCGTACTTTTGAAGGATGCCCGCCATTCCTAATATGTTGGAGCGCCTCCAATTTCGTATGATACTGTGCAATACCTCTGGTGTGAAATAGTTGCTTCAAGCGCCGTGGTACGCTGCGGCGGGCGGGCAGCCAGCGCGAAACGTGCATTGGCGCCTACAAACCTAACAGGGATACTTCACGCATTGCGCAATGCGAGAAGTATCCCTGTTAGGTTTACAGGCGCCAGTGCGCCGCCGCTCCGCTTTGTGTTAGGCTCTAATATTTAATCTCGTGGAGTCAGCGTTTTTCAACTCATGACTTTGAAATATTTGCTCACTCTGTATGGATTATTCTCATTTTAATTGATGAAAAAAAAAATATATGTAGTGAAGGAAAATATAATGTGCGTTTTGAAAATATTAAGGTGATTCCGTACAAACTTAGGGATTTATAAAGCACACAAATTTCTACACAATTTCTTATAGCCTTTTATAGCCGATGGCGAAAAAGCAAAAGCCACGCGATAAAGTGTAAAGCCCGGCGATAGGAACTATAGCCCGGCTGTATAATTTTTTATCGCTTCGTGTAGCCCGGCCGTATGATTTTGTCCACTTTCTACAGCCAGCTATATGATTTTCTATCGCCTCCTTAGGTCGGCTACAAGAACTCCTATGGTATTTTGAAACGCAGCTCCTATCGCCAATTTTTACCAGGGAAAGTGCAAAACCACGTATCTTCATAGCGGTGTTTCAAAATTTCCTCTCCTACTTTATTTCTTCGAAGAGGACCGAGTCCACTTCATATTTTGAAATCTATACAGAATATTCTGTTAACAGAGAAAAACCCAGAGGAGTGGTCAAAAAATTACGTTGACTAGCTATCCCAAGAAAGCGTAAAATATGACAGGAAGCCAGCAACGTCGCAAATGTGGTCCATTGGTGTGACGTGCTTTGCGATTTATCGATTGATCTGCCGTTTAAACCCATGGAAAAGGATCGATAGACAGGGTGTTCGCAACGAACACCTTGATAATCGATTCTTTATCATAGCTTTAAATGGGGGAAATATCGATAATAGCTCATTCACGATTCGCGAATGGTGGTCGCAATACGTGGTCTCACACTTCAGCCATTGCCATGTTATATCGACGGTGAAACTACCAAACCACGTATCTCGTTTGCGGTGTTTAAAAATCTACGCTCGCATTTTATTTTTTTGAGGTAGACCGAATCAATATCATTCCTAGAAATTTTCACAGAATTTTCTCCGCACGAAGAGGAAAAATCACAGAAATTTTCAAGACTGGACGTTAAGTAGTTTTTCATTTAAAAAATAAAGTGTGACAGGAAGTCTTCGACGTCGCAAACCGAGATACGTGGTTTGGTAGTTTCACCGTCGATATGTCGTATAGGCAGTTAGCAATCGTCGGCAATTTATAAGCGGAATGCGTTCTAGCTCATCAAATTACAATAATTTCCGCATCGCATAGAAAAGGTTCGATTGATAAAGAACCCCGAAAGCACGATGATGCGGGCTTAGAGCGCCTTCAGTTGCGCATGATACTTTCCGCTTTCCCACGTAGTTAGTTTAGTCGCCTATCCGAACCAAATTCAACTTAGGTCACTGATCTCTTCACACGCACGCGCGAGTGTGCCAGCTGATGGTATTGCAATTAGCTAAAAAATAAATCTGTTCTTTCAAGCACAATAATAAGCACTTTCTATCTTGTTCATTTATTACGAAATTATTGCATGTTTTATTCAACACACATGAGATGCTCGGAGGAAAAGGCACATAAGTGCAGTTTTGCTATTTTGAGAAATATGTGTTTGAAGTCCGAAATTACATGGATCTTTCGGAGAAATGAAAGTTCAAACTGACTTTTTGATGCTTATAAATTGAAATTTGATAGCGAATTTTTCGTAGAATATGCATAAAGACTACTTTAACTTGAAATCATAAGTATCTCAAGTTTTTAAAAACTGCACTCATGCGCCTTGGCCTCCAAGCCCGCGAAATAGATTATAATTTTCCGCAGATTGCTAATTGCCCGCAAATTTTATACTTCACGGCTTAGGGGCATTAATTTTTTATCATTTGACACAAAGATACGGGAACTTTCAAAAATCTATCGTTTGGGAGAGTTTCATAGTTAGAGAAAGAATAATCAGGATTTGAGGAAGACACAGTTGAAGCTCAGCGTTTGGAAACGATTCAATCGAAAAACTCTTAACGTCAATAGAGGACTATCAATAGAGGATTTAGAGGACAAGGCACGTAAGTGTAGTTTTTGATATTTCGGGAAATGCGTGTTTAAAGTATCGGCATTACATGGATACTAATTGCAGAAAGAAAGTTTAAACTGACTTTTTGATGCTTAAAATTGCTAAATTATGCTAAATTTAACGCGGGAGCTAATTTTCATGAGTAATTATGCATTAAGACTGTTTTTTACTTGAAATCATTAATACCCCCAATTTTTTCAAAAACTGCACTAAAGCGCCTTGTCCTCCAAGCCCCTCAATTTTAAGATCAGACTGCAATTAATTGCAATCCGTGCAACTTGGATGGCAGGAAAATTTTGCCAGTCTTGATGAGCGGAGCCCGAAAAGCCGTGAAAATTTCCGTTACATTGACATTGGAATTGGTTTCGAAGCTGTGCATAAACGCGTCATTTAATGAAGCATGCGTGTCCCAAGTCGTCCACAAAAATCAATAGCTCGATCGTTCTCCTATACGTATCGATTATGCAGTGTGGCAACGGAATGGAGCCTGAACTTGAAAAACATTTGTTTGTTTGAAGCATCTGTTCAGTCGAGATTCTGGAGATCTTTCTCAATATTTTATTAGGCCCGAAAAAAGGAGAGCCCCGCCGAAACTGAACGGACTTAAGAAAAACTCCCAAAAAAAAATACATTTTTAGTAGGTTTATATTGCTAAAATAACATGATCGACGCAAAGAATCGGCAATGGGTTGAACTGCGGAGCGACCTGGAGGTGTAGCTTTCTTAAGCGTCGAAGAACATGATTTCTTGAGCGATACCGCTGGATAAAGTCGAGATATTACATTGAGATGTTTCAGCACATCCGATGATACTCCATTTTCTCTCTGGAAAGAAAATCAACAAAAATGTTTCCCTGCAATTGCTGTAAATGATTTCGAATCAGTGAAGAGGGCCTGTAGAAATTGTCAAGGAAAACTGATAAGTGGGTCATTCTATGAAGAACTCGGGAATTCTGGAAAAAATGTTTGAATTTTCTTTCTTATCGAACCTGAGTACAGGCTTCCAGGACTTTATGTCCACCTACCTTTCGTCCATTAAATAAATAAAACTTTAATTATTACCTTGTCTGGTGGTCCATTACTTCCTTTGAGTTAATACTAGCTTGCCCACAATCTACGTCTTTGAGAAGCAAGAACCATCGTAATCCACGAATTCATGTAAGAAATTAATTCATTAAGTGTATAGCAGCATTAATACTGAGTAGGAAGTAAGACATCTTTACGATGATTATTTGATATGTATGCTTACATCGAAAATACGGAAAACGGATTTCACTCATTGATATAATGGGTAAAAGAGTTATAGCGCTATGGTATCTCTCTCTAACACGTTGAGTTACTGAGCGATGTCCGGTTCCCTGATTTTCAATGAAAATGTAAATTTTGAGTAAATCATTTTCAACAACTTGATGTCATACTATTTAGTAACAATACCAATGTACGTTATGGACACCTAATTACACAATTTCGTAGTTTACTGCCTCCAAGAGATACAGACTATTGCTTCCGTAATGTAGTGGGAAATCTCGTCCACAAATCACTTAGACTCTCCCTCCTAAGTAGCACAACGCATGGAATATAATTAAATAATTTTGCAATTTAATGAAATAAAATTACAATTTTTTGCCATTCAATTGCAAACATCATTTGGTCAATAAATGCCAATTTGAAACGATCAAAAGAAAAATTCGTAAGAAAGGTACGTAATGGGCAAAAAAATTACAGCTTATTTCAACTTCACTGAAATATATTTTAAGCAGAGGAAGCCCCTTCAATTAGTGAATAGTCAACATATACAACACATCGATTCAATAGATCTGTTACCATGCGATTGAAATTTCCTGTAACTTGCGTGCTGATCATTGAAATTGATGGACAAAGCTATGGACAAAGAAGACAAACTGAAAATATAGCAATCCTGTTGGTGGAAGCGGGTGGTTGCGATGGACAAAGGAGATGAGTAATAGACTAACGGCAACTTGCGAGAGACCCTATATTTAGTCCATAGTTTCCCCCCTTAGTCTACATGACGACTCTCCGTTCTGACCGATTGAATCGCTCCATGTTTCCTGTACCATCTTTGTCTATCGCTTTGTCTATCAACTGGAATACTAAAAGGAACTAAGCGCAAAAGGAAAAGGTGGCGGGAGTAAAATGTATGGCAACGGTGACTTCATGGGCGGGGATTTTGCTGGTGATGGCTTTAGTTTTTTTTTTTTTTATTTTTTTATTTTATTGTATTTATTTTTTTGCTTTTTGCACATTTGGCTTCACAAAAACGTCATTTTCTAAATAAAGGTACTGATAGGTATAAACATATTTACATACAAATCGTCTTAAATTCATTAGTGAAAAAAAAAAAAATCAATTCAAAAATCAAATCTTAAAATCAATTAGTGTCCTATGTTTCCTGAGCTTTTTTTGGAGCTCGGTTCCTTTTGATTTAATTCGATATCGAGTATTTAAAACTGTCAAAAGGAACTCTGAATTGGCGCTCAGTACCATAAATACGCCCAAATTCAAGAATTAGCCCGCTGTGCTACTTGGGATCAATGTTTGTCTTTACTCCATACATATTTTACTCGTCATTCCACAATTTGACCAAATACTCAACGGGGACTTGATATTGTCATTATTGCCATTTTTCAATATGAAGGCGCCATAGAGACCGCGGAAGAAGAGGAGCTGAAGCGAGAGGTGTGTTACGATCAGTTGGGGTGTTTCGCACTCGAATACCCCTGGTTCGTTCCCGATTCGCGACCGATCAACTTGCTGCCTCAAGATCCTAACTCTATCTACACTCACTTTTACCTGAGCACCAGGTAAGAGAAGATAATCATGCACAAATTAATTTTAATGCGATTACTGTAGCAGAGAAATGTGCAGATCATGAAAAAACTGGCGCAACTAGGGGGAGCTGGGGGGAGGGGGCTGCCTCACCCTAGTGTAAGTGAACCTCATGCGGCGGGAGGTCTGCAGGTGGTTAACCATCCGCGGCGGGGACTAACCTCCTGCAACCTCCTGCTAACCTCAAGCAACCCCCCGTCGCATGAGGTAGACACCCTGTTCCAGGAAAAAATACGAGCAACCTCCCGCGAGCCTCCTGCGAACCTCATGCAGACCTCTCGCAAGCCTTAATCACCTCAAGCAAGGGCCTGCAACTCCATGCAGCTAACTAAGGCTTGCGAGAGGTCTGCATGAGGTTCGCGGGAGGTTACTCGGTTTTTTCCTGGAACAGGGTGTTCACTGTTCACCCCATGCGACGGGAGGTTGCTTGAAGTTAGCAGGAGGTTGCAGGAGGTTAGTCCCCGCCGCGGATGGTTAACCACCTACAGACCTCCCGCCGCATGAGGTTCACTTCCACTAGGGCAGGGGCCCCAGGAATCTAATTAGAACCCTCCAGGGAACGGAAGGGAGTTCGCTGTATCAAAGCGTGACATACATTTCATTTTTGATAATTTATATTAATGAATTTCTCTGTGAAAGTAATTGCCTCAGAGTCGACTCAATTTTTCAAAAAGTTTCGGGATTCTTCTCGGCTCTCCAGTAGTCGCATGGCGTGCTTTGCAATATATCAATTAATCTGCCGTTTTAACGTATGGGCCTGGTTACACGATCAAATTCCCGTCGAATTCCGATCAAAATGATGACCAAGATGGCGGTCGATAGTTATCTAGATTGATGAGTAAAATTAATTGAAACAGCGTGTTAATTGAAATAAGCTGGAAATAAGCACGGTTGTGTGGAAAGCAGATGAAGGTTGAGAATGAGCCCCATAGCTCCATCATCTACCATCAAATTTTTGCAGGCCGCAGAAATTTGATGGTAGATGGTGCGCACCAGTCACCATTTGATCGGAAATTGATGGAAATTTGAGCGTGTAACTAGCGCATATGGAAAAGGATTGAAAATCTCGGTGTTCGTAACGGACACCTTTATAATCGTTTCTTTACCAAAGATTCAAAAGGGAATTATTGATAATCGATCATTTCTTGAAAGCCAGGGAGGGCTGTCCCGAGAGTTGGGCTTCCTGGATGTCACGTGGAACAGTTCCCGAGAGGTTGGGTTCCTTGGATGCCAAGGGGGCAGCCTCTGGGGTTTGAACTTCTAGGATGGCAGGGGGGGGGGGGGGGCAGCCCCTGGGGGTTGGACTTTTTGGAAGCCAGGGAGGGCTGCCCCGAGGGTCGGGCTTCCTGGATGTCAGGTGGAGCAGCCCCCGGGAGGTTGAGCTCTTTGGATACCACGGGGGGTGGCCCCTGGGGGTTGGACTTCTTGGAGGCCAGGGGGGCTGCCCCGAGGGGTGGGCTTCCTAGACGTTAGGTGGGACAGCCCCCAGAGGGTTGTGCTCATCTGATGCTGTTACCAATTAGAGTAACAATCAGATCAAGGGGAGCAGCCTCTGCGGTTTTGACTGCTTGGGCGGCGGCGGCGGGGGGATGCACATTGCCGTAATTCGCACCCTCTTGTCCGGGCCAATGATTTTCCTTCAATCAGCCGGCTATGCAAAATGACTGTCATGACGCACGAATAGTGGTATTAGAATGTTGCATTAAGATTACGGAGTGGGTTGAAGGCGCTCTCCTGTATCGTATGAGAGTGGCCTTGTACAATTTTGTACACATTTTGACAGTTTACGGAATTATGTAAATTTATGGCAAGGAGCTCACGGGTCTTCAATATTTTGGGAAGAATAACTCTTCAAATCCGCGAGCTCTCCTTGTTCATTCCTTTTTACATGCCTTCAGTACATTTGAATGTTAAAATTTTAAAAATTCTATTTTTTATGAGGTGCTGAAAATTTCATAAGAAACGTGCATTCAGGATCTTAAAATCGTTTAAAATACTATTGTATGCTGCATATCTTGACAGAAAATTCTTTCTTACAGGAGCGACAAACTATCTTTTGTAAAATTAGGGTAAAAAATAAAAATTTCAATCGAAATAAGAATATTTGACTATTTTCCGAGGTATTTGACAAAATGCCTGATTTGAATATTTGCCTTCGACATCTACATTTTCTTTTCATAAAACTCCCGTGCAATTAGTCTTATTTTCTTTTAAACCGATTATTTGCATCTATGTTTAATGTTTTGAGGAGGGAGCATGGAGACAGGCGACAAAAACTCGTTGTACGACCGGAAGTGTACAACGACTGGACAGATTTTGATTCAACCAGATGGACGGTTTTCATTACACACGGCTGGAGGAGCAATGCCGGAAAAGACTGGGTCAGGCACCTTGAAACAGCGATACTCATGAAAGTAAGTCAAACTGTGCACGCATGACATAAAAAATACTCCCTTTAATACGAAGAGTTGAATTGGAAGATATTAGTCATCATCAATTTGATTCTTTCACAAGAATTTGAGGTGAAATAGCTTCAGAAAGTTAAACTTTCAATTTCGGTGATTTCCACTTCTTTTCAATCAGAATTTGTACCTTACTATCCCCTAGCAGCACCTCTCGTAAACTGACTCGTAAAACATAAAATAAAATAAAATGTTAAACTGCCATATTTACAAGTTAGAAAGTTGTGCGTATAAAAAGAAGTTCCAAATTATCAGATTTCAATACTGATGATTCAGAACTTCTTTGCGAGCTTTACGCATAACTTTCTAACTTGTAATTATGGCAGTTTATGGCAGTACGGAAAACAATTATGATAAACGATCTAAAAAATAATATTGGCAGAATAATCTGGATTTTTAACGTAATTTTCTTGGAAAAATATGTAATAAACGTTTTACTTTTGGACTTTCCTGCCCTTTGACTCTTGAAAAGAGTTTTTTTCGATATTTTTCTTTTAAATTTTACATCTATGTGTTACCATAGTGCCAGTCAGATATTAAATCCCCAAAAATGAATTCCTTTATTTCATAGATTATTGTGGTATGGTTTCAATAGAGAACTCAAAGGAATAAAAACTTAAAACTAGGCAAGCATATTGCTAAAATTTTAAAACAATTAAGAGGCAGGAATTTTTGAGCTAGCTGTCGCGTCGCAGGCCCACTTTCCGATGCAAAAATAACAAAACATTGAATGGCGACGTGATCCCAGTTGTTTCACGCAACCACTGAGAGTCGTCAGAGTGACCTTCCGAGGGAACATATTTTCAACAAAAACATTTTCAGCTTTTGTTCTTAAGTTCCTATTCTCTGGTTTTGTAATTTTGCTCTGCTGGCGTGGCGTGCTTTGCAATTTATCGATTGATCTGCCTTTTCAACCTATAGAAAAGGATCTATAGATAGGGTGTTCTCAATGAACACCTTAATAATCGATTCTTTTCCATAACTTCAAATGGGGAAATATCGATAACAGCTCATTCACGATTCGCCACTGAAAGCGCTAATGCGTTTTTGTTCCCTTTTCAGACTGATGCAAACGTGATTAGCGTCGACTGGTCTTTTGGAGGCAAGGGTATAAATTACATGCAGTCCGTGTCAAACACACGGGTTGTTGCAGCAGAAATCAGTAGGTAAGTAATGAGCTTAATGAAAAATTTGACATCATACTTTAAAAATACAATTTAGGACTATGCCGGGTAGTTCAGATTGTACGGTTTAACTTGCACACTCAGAGAGTCAATCAACATAATTTTGTGCCAGTCCTTTAGACAAGAAAAGACCAGAGTGAAATGGTGGGATGTGATCGGTCAACCCCTTGCTCTTAATCGACAAAAGGGCTTATTATCCGACTTGATAAAGGCACAGTAAGGGAGCTTGATGAAGGTAGACGAGGCTTTCCACCACTCACATCTCTATTTTTTACCTTAGTCCCGTCGTGTCCAGTCTAGAAACGCAGTTTCAATAATCGGCCGATTGGTCTGATTAAATGAATTGATGGATCTAATGTTTGGGAATTTAATAGAATACATGGAAGTTTTTGAACAAAATAATTTGCAAATTTTCTTCCAAATATATTGTTACCTGGTAAATCCTGACTCTTCTTCAAGAAATGACGGAAGAGATTCGGGTTTACGCGACCCTCATACGAAACAGGCGTTGTTGTGAGCCACGTTAAACTGTTGTCACTAGTCGGAAACGCCCTCAGTTTCGCGCGATACTTCACCGCTCGCCCCAGAGTTAAAATATTTGCATCATTAATTGTCGTGCAGAATATTCCGCTTTTCAAACAGCAATGCTCTAAACCACTCTCTCTTTCCAATATGTGATTTTATGAATGAGCAAAAAATTGTGGTTGCGAATAGCAAATGTCATCAAAGTAATTGTCGTTTTTGGTTGCAGACTACTTAACCATTTAATAGCTAAGAAGAAATTGAGGGCGGATAGAGTACATCTCATTGGTCAGAGTCTTGGAGCACATATCATGGCTTATGTGGGGAATAACGTAACCGGAATCGCTCGTATTACAGGTATGTTTCATGGGTTCAATTCTAAACCTCACGCCATTTATTAAAGTGACGGGGGTGGTTTCAAGGGTGATTCATGGAAGTTGGCAACACTGAGCTTCATCCATTTAAATACATGTGTCGAAGCCAAATCAGGTATTTTGTCAAATACTTAGGAAAATAGTCAAATATCCTTACTTAGGTTGAAATTTTTATTCTTTACACTAATTTTAGACAGAATAATTCGTTGCTCCTGTAAGAAAGGATTCCACTGGTCAACAGAAAAAAAAGAAGTTTTTGTTGCCTCCAATTTTGAAGTGGTTTCTGGGTAGATTTTTGCACTGATTCCGAAAACGACCTCCGTTTTTCTCTATCAGCTTTAGTTTTTGAGATATCAGCCTTCTAAGACTGAAAAATGGCCAAGAACGGGCCAAAAAATTCGGATTTTTCAAATATTTTGAAAACTAATACAGATATAAAAAAACCAACAATTTGACGTTATTTCTCGTTAAATTTTGAGCAAGAAGGGTTTGAGTAACTTTTTTATCAAACCCTCCCTTCTTCATGAAAATTGAGATCAAAGTTTTAAACCTCCGCCAAATGCTGAATTCTACTTAAATTCATTAATTTTCACGGTTTTTGGGGATTAAAGTGTAACAGATCATCCCAACTTTAATTTCATAGCTGTTTCTAGGTAAATGCGCCGTGCTGATTTCGAAAATGACCTCCGTTTTTCTCCATTAGCTTTAGGGTTTGAGATATCAGCCCTTGAAGGGTGAAAAATGCCTCAGTCTTAGAAGGCTGATATCTCCAAAACTTGAGCCGATATAGAAAAACGGAGGTCATTTTCGGAATCACCTCAAAAAATCTACCTAGAGACAGCTTCAATATTGGAGGCAACAAAATGTGTGTTGACCAGTGTTCTCTGTGAAAATATGCAACATACAATAGTATTTTAAACAATTTTAAGTTCCCAAATGCACATTTATCATGAAATATTCAGCACGTCATGAAACATAGAATTTTTAAAATGTTACCATTTTAATGTATTGAAGGCATGTAAAAAGGAAGGAACAAAGAGAGTTCGCTGATTTGAAGAATTATTCTTCCCAAAATATTAAAAACCCTTGAACTCCTCGTCATAAATTTACAGAACTCCGTAAACTGTCAAAATTTGACTACCGGCCTAGGCATTTGATAAAATGCCTGGTTTCACTAATAGCCTTCGACATAATGCAAAAATATCGGTAATCCAGGATTTCGCGAAAGGTCTAAAAAAATACACGAGTATTGCCCGAAATAGACACACAGAATGCGCGAATAGAAACCCTAACATCTGCTATAGGAACGCGCAAATTTAAAATAAAGTTAATTTACGGTAGAAGTTTGGCAAAACAGGAAACGGTTGGGAAATAAACGCATTTTTATATTAACGCTAGTTTAGGTTAGTTTGTTGACAAGTCATCGATGTCTTACCTTCTGATGACAAATTAAGTGAAAAGATCGAATAATGGTCTTGGGTATAAAGAACTTTCCTACAATTTCTCGGAAAAATATTTAATCGGGAGAAACGAGGCAACGCTGGAATGCCCATACGGTGTGAAAACAGAGCATGGGCCTTTTAAGCTCTATTATTCGATGCCGCAATTATTCTAAGTACGCGAGTTCGAATAATCGCGCCAAACACAGTGTGGCTGGCGTTAAACGTATATCAACGCCTGCAAGACTTTAGGAATACTTCACGCATTGCGCCAAACAGCGCGGTCGGCGTCAAGCCCATATTAGCGCCTACAAGACTGCATGAATACTTCTCGCATTGCGTCAAACGCAGTGCAGTCGCTCATTTGGCGTGAAACGTATATTAGCACATACGAGACTGTAAGAATGCTGTTGGAGGACTGCGTTTCATCATTCTTGACTTTTTGCTCCAGTTCTCACCATAACTAAAGGGAAAATATGTATCCTCATTGTAACGATTCAGAAACTTGGATGATATTTATTTTTTTATTTTAGGTTATATTGAAAGAAAATGGAACTAACGAAAATATCGCGTCAAATTTTTCGATATTTTTGTTTGAGATCATTACGAAGAATTCGCGGAAACTTTTCAGAAAAACAGTTCGTAGCTTTTTAAAAGCACTTATTAAAAATAAAAAATAAAAGTGGTGCATAACATTGCAATCAGAGATAAATATACGCTTTCTTTCGGGCGCACTCGTCCAGTTTTGAAACCGGTTTCATCTGCAATATTCAGTATTGCGGGCTGATAACTAAGGGGCTTGGAAGATAAGTGGGATAAATGCAGGTTCTGAAAAAATAAGATATTAATGCTTTTAACTAGAACTAGTCTTAATTCATCAACTGGTGAAACATTCACCTCGAAAATCCAATTCTTAAGCATCAAAAAGTGAGTTCAAACTTTCTTTCCACCATAAGGCCCCATGTAATTTTTAAACTTTGAACGCGTATTTCTTGAGGTATCAAGAGATGCACCTATGCGCCTTACCCTCTAAGCCCCTCAATTGATCTTAACAGAAAAATATAATAGAAAAAGAAGACCAAAGAAACATGGAACGATCATATTGGTTGAACCTGGTGTTTGTTGTAGACTAAATGGGAGAATGATGGACTAACAACACTGCAAAGCTAAGGAAAAACGCCGTATGAGCTTTTAGACGTTGCCAGATTTACTTCAATTAAAACCGAATTTTCTTGGAACATTGCGAACATTCTCCTTCAAAATTTTCAGATAATTTTGTTCGCAATTTAATCTAAAAAAATCTGAAAATTTCAAGAAGAAATATGAATAACTTTCCTCAAAAATATATGCTTTATCCGGAGAAATTTGGCATTTTCAGATAATTTTGTTCGCAATTTAATCTAAAAAATCTGAAAATTTCAAGGAGAAATATGAATAACTTTCCTCAAAAATACATGTTTTATCCGGAGAAATTTGGCAATTCTCGAATGTTCATACGGCGTCCTTCCTTCGCACAGCGGAATAGGTTTCTTCGGGGGTTGCCGTTAGTTAGTCTATTACTTACCTCTTTTGTCCATTGCAACCACCCGCTTCCACCAATAGGATCGCTCCACTTTCCCTTTGCCTATCGCTTTGTCTATCAGTCCCTTCGTCAATAATCATCCCACAGGTAGGAGTGAACATCATTGGCGTGGCGTGCTTTGCGATGTATAGATTGATCGGCCATTTAAACCCATGGAAAAGTATCGATAAACAGGGTGTCCGCATACTTTCATTCGCACCTTTATAATCGATTATTCACCACAGCTTCAAAGAGGGAATTATCGATAGATCGCAAAGCTCGCCACGTCACCGGTGAATATGCTTTAAAGGACGACGGGCAGTCGTATCTCACGTTAATTGTTTGTGTGTATATATATATATTATCCGGGACATTCCCCTTCTAACTTTATTCAACAATTTACATAATATAAGATCTTATAGTAATTAATATGAGACAAAAGATAGAAATTAGTCACAAAAAAGGAATAGAGATAATTTACGTATAGTGTTGAAAGGGACGGAATTATCTGTAGATATGACTATCGCCCAGGTTAGGTTTAAAATTATTATAAGTCATAAATAAAATGTACGAAGATATAAGATTGCCTAAAGAAATTATTGCTCAGAAATTATGAGGGTCACGTTAATTGTATTGAACTTTTGGTTTTACGATAGGGTTAGATCCAGCCCAACCAGGTTTTGAGGGCGACGACCCTGCCGTGTATTTGGACGCTTCTGATGCTAAGTTCGTAGACATTATCCATACCAATGCAGATCCTTTTGTGCCGAACGGGGGATTAGGATTCATACAGCCAACTGGTAAGTAAAGTCCTGTACTGCAAACGCTCCGATAAGGACAACATGCGCCTGGGTAATTTAGCAATACTTTTTATGTTGTTGAATGAATAGAGATTTGTTTAGGCTCCTTTTCGTCGTTTAATCCTCATTTCCTAGGGTTAATTAATTACGCCATGTGAACATTCGAGAGTTGCCAAATTTCCTTCGATAAAATGTTCATTTTTGAGGAGAGTTATGAATATTTTTTCTTAAAATTTTCAGAAGTTTTAGATCAAACTGCAAACAAAATTATCTGAGAAATTGGAAGAAAAATATTAACAACTAGTGTTTTTTTCAAATGAAATTTGGCAACGCCTGAAGGTTCATACGGTGTTTTTCCTACGGCGTTTTTCCTAAGCACGGCAGAAGAGCTGTCCGAATCATGCTGATTTCACATGTAATCAGATGAAAATTCTGCCACATTTGCAGTTAAAAACTTGATAAATACAATCTGGGAGCAGGCGTTTCGCTATGTTGAAATGTAGTTCCGTACTTTTGTCCAGGCGACATTGGCGGATCCAGCAAATTGGCAACATCGTCTTTCCTCCATTTAAACCTATGGAAATGTATCGATTCTTGGGGGGGCCATGTGCTCCGACAAGAATCGATTTTTTAGCATAGGTTTAAATGGAGGGAATCCGGGGTTGCCAAATTGCTGCTCCTGGCGACCAAGAATCCAGTTGTCTGTAGTTCCGTGCACGGGCTCAGTGCTACGTAATCTCGAGGTATTTTTCTCATGCTTACACATTTTTGATGCGCAATCAAATCCTCAACGAATATTACGAAACATTCGTGGAGAGACTACGATAATCTTCCTCCATTTGATATGCATCGAAACATATCGAGCCGCCACATGAGAAGAGAGAGATCAGACATGGGCTTTAGAACTTGTTCTGAATAATTGGCTTAAGATTGTTTCCTTCTTGTTTTATGCTTATTCACACCTATCCTGTCACTCATGTCAGCTTACCAGGGAATTAAGTCACAATATTGTATATAGCGTTTATTTGTTATTTGTTTATGCGTCTCCCGCTATCATCCCAATAAGTTTATAAAAGTCAGCAACTGCTTACTTCTTCTTCATCATATTTCGGACGATGGAACGTAACCCAATTCCAACGTTGAAAAATTATTCAAACCATTCAATTTCTCACAAGAATTTTCCAAAAATGTAGCCCGCATGCATGAAATTACATAATTTGTAT